ATGAGACTGGGCGGCAGATTCAACGCCAGATCAGCTCCAAATAAGGGACGGGGCTAACTACAAATGGTCTCAGGAGGGACAAACTGAGCACTAGTACCTGGGTGACCGGATAGCAGCATCAGCTACGGTCCAACAGATGCCTCCTAATAAGTCATAAGGTGGACTTGAGATTCGAGCACATGAGAAGATGAGAGAAAGATTTGGTTCGTAGACCCAGTCAAGGAACAAAAGTACATCGAGTCAATGACAACCGCCAATGCGTGCAGTGCGTGCGTGCGTGCGTGCAGCAAACCAAACCAATACAAGGGACCGTTGCCTTATGCAGATGCTGGGCTTGACACAGTCCAACGAACGAAATGTGAGATGCTGGTGGGGATGAAGTCCAGGTGGGCCCTGTTTGTATTAGGGGCGTTTGAATACATCGAAATATTAATTTACTGCAATTTCCAGGCGATGAGGATCCACGTCTGAATCCGAGGAACATGAGATTTAGTGAGATCCATTCACACCAGAATGAAAATAAACGGTGAATCCATTGTTTCGAATCTTGCTTCCACCCTCCACTCGTTCAGGTGGAGGTGTACATAGATGCTCCCTCCTAACAGACATGCATATCTCCGCCAGCACAGCCCTCGAAGGATTGATATTAGGTAGGTATTAGGCACTTTTCCTATATAGTAAGATATCTCAGGGCTGTTCATAGTATTTCTGCTTCGAGGTCTACAGTTTCCCCTCTCTTAACCGCTGGATGTTTCTCAAACAAGAAGAAGAAGAAGAAGAAGAAGAAGAAGAAAAAGGAGGAGGGGCCAGAAACGACAATTCCATATCATTAGCAAATATTACGGCCCTTCCCCAAGGATGTCACTCAAGCAACTTCGTGTGTGTCGTTCTCATTATGGAGTCAGAAATTAGAGTACATGCCTCACCTCTCAACTAGGTACAGCACAGTACCGATCCTTGACTCAAAAGTGACAAGACTGAACCCATGCTTATCCACTGGGCGTTGCTGGGAATGTCTCCGCCTGAAGTCAGCCTGAGCCTCTAACTGGGAGCTGCAGCACTAGGTAGGTGAATGGTCAAAGCTGGCCCTGCCTGGGCAATGGACATAGCACGGCTCACGGCTTATTACTTTATGTATTAGTCTCTTCAGCAAATAGCACTACCTTGTTTCTCACCACTCGAGGGACGGTGAGTGTATGAGGTCATTCCAATCCCCAGATTCCCCCTTCAAGCCTGGAAAACGAAACAGGCTAACTATCAGTAGAGAGACATGAGAGGGAGAGGAGATTTACCGTCTCACTAGAGGATCGAGGAAAGCACAGTCAGATTTCTTCTTTCAACAGTACGCTACTGCAAATAACCTTGCCGCGTTGGAAATTGCTATGATGAAGATCTCATCACGTGTAGGTGTGGAGGATTAGGGGGGCCACGTCCGAGAAACGCCAACACAAGCCATGTACTAGACAACTTTACAGAGAATGTGAAATCGAATAAGAGGACTGTATGTTATGGAGGTGGATGAATCTTATGGCAATCGCCTTAATAGTGTGTGTAGCATCGGTATCTGGAGATTGAGGCCAGTGTCAAAGCGACAAACGGGAATGCTGTGACGCAAGCAATACCTATAAATCAAAACACTCTTGTTATGTCATCTTGCTTGCCGGCCTTTGGCTTCACTTTATGTGTTGCTAGAATTTTATTTTGATAGAGAAATAAATTAAATTATACGTATACATGCTGTTGCTAATTGCCAGTAACAACAAAACGTAATGAAGCCATAATATGTAAACACATTCTCGTCGTTTCAAGGTGTGCATCAGAAAAGCCAAGCCGCGCATTGCTGATGCTCATGCACACACACAGACAATCCGATCCTTGAAAAATGCTCCACAAGTTTCCCGTCAACCCCCAGTCCCATGAGCATCATGTCAACCCTAGCATCATTCTCGAGGTCTCCAAATACTGATAGTCAAGGCACGTGCAGGCTCGGCTGTGAGTGTAACATCTGAAGGAGATTTCATACATTATCATCAAGCATTTGACATTCTCAAGCATGCACTAGCTCCTTGAGTCTCTTCTCAATCTTCTGTCGACCCTCAAGAGTCCTCCAAACCTCATGGGGTGCTCCATCGACGATGTCCCAGTTCTTGAGGTTCTTGGTTAACTTGGTCAGGTCTCTCTGTTTCTTCTCCCATGGATGGCTATCCTTGATGTGCTTGCCGGAGCTAATAACAACAAGCGGCGTATCCTTGTCCTGGATCTGACGGCTGGTCAGCGCATCTCGCCGAGTGAACGAACCGGCGACCAGACTCTCCTGCAGTTTGGCAAAGATGAACTTGCCATTCTGCTGGGCCGATCGTCCGTACACTCGGTCGCGGCTCGTTCGTCCGCGGAAGATGGCACCGGGGATTCGGTCCAGGCCGAGCGGGGAGATAACGCCCCAGAGCCAGAGAAAGAATCCTCGGCCGGGTGATGCAACGTCGCCGAGAAGATCCTCATGTAGGGGATCGACAAGGAGCAGACCTTTGATGTGATCTCCGTGGCGGGCTGAGAAGACTCTTGAATAAATCGATCCGATTCCGGCACTTGCGAGGATCCATGGTCCGCTCTCGCCAGCACCAGCCAGTGCCTCACCGAGGGTATCAACCACGAAGCCTGCTGATGATGGAGAGGGTGCGTTATCTGACCACCCGTAGCCAGGTCGATCAGCGAAGCAGTATCGTGAAATGGAACCATTCTTGACGGCGTTGTCCGCAAAGCCCCAGAAGTCGTATTCTACGGTTCGTTCGCCGGCCTCGAACAATACGGTGGGGAGATCGTTGCCCTTGGAGTCGGTCTTGTTACCGTGGCAGTAAACATGAATGCGATATTTGCCGTTATCAACCGGATACAGCTTTCCTGGGTGTGACACGCCGGCGTCGAGGGCTCGCAGGATAATGGATAAAGTGATGAGGAATACAGCCACTGACATGATGGCGTAGGCGACCGTTGAAATCATGACCTCGGACCATTCGAACAGGGTTCGTCTCGTCTCGGCCCGACCTGTCAAGCGTTCCTCTTCTTCGGCCTTGCCCCATTTGACAGTTCGATCAACCACCAGAGTCCAGAGACTAGTGAGTAGTGCCCAGATGACGGTGGCAGCACCGACCCAGCCCTCTTCATATCGAGTCTTTTGAACGGACAGGATGAGAACCATATCGAGGAGGATAACGCCCTATCTGTAGTGTGAGTAAGCATGGCCAAATGCAGTAGTGTCAGCTGTGCAGACTTACGGAGATGAAGATGGCAAGAATCCTGACAGATTTGGATGGCACCTCGAAGAAAAGGAGTGTAAAGATGAGATTCGCAAGTGTCCACGTCGCGAATCCGAAGGCAAACCAAGGGCTGCCACGAGTTCCAATGCCAGGGGGCGTCACAAAAGTAGAGACAAGAAGCAGAATCCACCAAACAAGCGTTATCAGGGTGAAAGCAATTGTCAAGTATCGCAAAGCTCGGATGCTCCAGAGGTTATAGGGCGAGACTGCGGGATCATCGGGGGCAAGTAGGCCAGGCTGAGTTGAGTTGACGCGGTTCGGGAGCAGACGAGTGTGCTCATCTGGCACAGCCTGTTCACCCTCCTCGGGGGCGTTGATACGAGCAGATCCATTTGTACCGTTTGGCCCGTCTTCGCTTGAGTCCTTTGGGGATGAGAATAGAGGCATAGTGGGAGAGTGAGTGAGTTTATTGTTTGTTTCTCAGTTGATGGCTGCTGGTTCTGGTGCTGATGGATGGTCTCAGTGCTAGAGTGTACGTAAGTGAGAGAAGGAACTGAATATGAGTGAACTATTTTGTCAGAAATCAATCGCTAGTGACACATGCTTTACAACATTCACAGAAAAAAGCCCATTCAATTGCAGACAACTCACAAGTCTCGAACCTGTCCCTCGGTTCTATATAAACCCATGGACCAGCTGCTAACGTATCCATGATGAAGAGGCTAAAAAGTAGAATACGTCATGGGCCAGCCATTTCAGCTCCCGCGTTGAGCATGGCCAATCACCATCGTCAAAAGCTCACCAGGGAGTACTAGTGCCGACACAAGCTTCCGGGAGATAGAGCTTGGAGCTGAAGCTTGGCTTTTCCCAAAACAATTACGGTTTAACATGGCCACTTGATCAAGAGTGTCTGTGTTTCCGATTGCAAAAACAGGGCAGCAATTGAGTTAGCCATCACCGGGAGGGAGGAAGATCGCAATGATGCGCCGTGAAGCGACTTGGTCAAGGCCTCAATTGTGAGGTAGTGAAGGATAGTTCTGTGCATCATTCACCATCACATGCTCCAGGTCATATGATAGACTTCTTCTTACAGCTGCAGGTCAGTAGGTATTAAATAATATGTAATCAGTCGGCTGCCCGAATCTTCTCGGCATTTGCCATCTTGCAAGTCACCACGCAATCATTCCCCCTGCTGGTGTGTCCCCAATGACGGTTGTACAACATCATCACAACACAACAATCAAGAATATTTCAAATAAATTTACCACGAGTCTACCTATATTTCCATTGCGTTTATGGCGGCAAGTACTTATTGAACTCTTGTTTATGAAACGCTCATATCGTTCGTTCACAGACATGATGGATACGGAGGTACGTATCACTCTACCCGTGTTTTACTTCCCCCAAGCTTCCATACCTCTTAGGTGTCTTGGACTATCACTTCTTGGTACAGTTCGTCGAATTCAACTTAAGAGTAATAATGGTATCAAAGCCGTACACCTAAAATTATTTATTAGATTTGTACTCCGTATCGTAAGTAACGACATGAAAAGTGACAATGAACGCGCCAAAATTATCCATTTTCACGCAATCGTAACAGGGTATCTCTGTCTCTCTCGTTTTTTTACCCCATTCCAGATGACATTTCAGCATCTACGACGGAGGAAATTAACCACCGTATAGATCCTGATCTCCTTATTTCACACATCGTTACACATTACTCCATAACAGATACTGCTTCTGGCCTCAAGTGTTCCAAGGAGCAACAGGATTGTATTCCTTGGCACTGGGGACTGTACTGATACTACTAGACACCGAGTGGGACGCCTGGCTGAGACCTGAGTATGACTGGGTCTCTTCTCGTTGCTGTCGTGTACGCTCGAGTGCCTTCTCGGGGCTGGGCCCTCGCGTCGAAGTGATGGCGTTGTCGGGTATTTTCCCAATGGGCAAATGCAGCTTGATTGCCGCTTGAGGATCCTTCATGTCGATATTGTGCCGTCTGTATGTGTTCTTCTTTTGTTCCCTCATGGCTTGCGCGGATGGCTCGGCCACTGACAACCAATCCTTGACTTGAGTGAGCCATCGTGATTTTTCCTTTTTAGACTTTCTCGTGTCTGTTGATGACATGGAAGTTCTTGGTCTATCGTTTCCACAGAGAGATGGGTCATATTCAGATTGTGGGTGGCGTGGTATAAAAGCTGGTGACCTAGGACTGACAAGTGTCTCTGTGGTTGATCCGGTAGAAGATGGCATGGTTTGATGTATGTGAGGCCCGTGAGAACCACCAAGCTGAGTGTATTTCGACAGTCAAGTTGGAAATTTGATGAATAATATGGATTAGTGGAGGGCCTCTGATCTATAGGCCAAGGCGTCGTCGGTTGGTTTGAGAGATCCAACAGCCTGTATAGGCCCGTGAAGGGATGATATGCCACCCGGTACTTTCAGGATATGCCTCGAATAAATGAATATTTTGAAAAGCCGGGCGTATCTAGATTAGGCATAGTCCTCAACCCCCCATGTGGTGCTGGTGATCTGGGTGATGCCGTCCCTGGAGACCTCGAGAGTTCGTAACAAGTATTCCTCCCTGGCAGACGACAAGGAATTCTGGATTCCGATACCGAGAATGCAGGAACAGATAGAACAGCTATGGTTGTGTGGCCCCAAACCTTTGGCGTTGGACGTCAACGGCGGTAGTGGCAGGATGATGCAAGTGCGCGAGTCGTGCAACGCATAAATGGAAGCACTGCCGACGGCAGCTAGAGGATCGCCGGATGGATGGAATGTAAAAAAGAACTATTGCTTCTGGAAGAGGAAGAAACAAGAAAAGGGCCACAAGGAAAACTATAAGGGGGGTTTCTGAGGTTGAGAGAATGGGTGATGGATGATGGAGATGTCAAGTCAGAGAAATGGAGGGTATGGTCATAAATCACGGGGTAGAGGGGATTTCAAGTAAGGGTCGGAGAGTCACATACTCTTCAGCTACCTACTAACCTATGCATATGAAAGAAAACCAATAATCAAGCCTTGGCAGCGTCCAACAGTACAAGCAGAGGTACTCGAGGTGCATTACCTTACCCATCCATCCTTGTCACAAGCCTCCAGCGTCACTTCGACTCCATCACACCCTCGCAAACTGGTCTACCCTCTACGATATCCGATCTTGGTCTAGGTTCTATTATGTCGAGCTGAAGAGCCCACACGAAAATTGCTCACTTGGGCTCCTGATTGGATGAGAGTCGCTATGAAGCCGGGGTCCCTCTCGCGGGACGATGCAACGGCGAGACCTTGTGGCTTTGTCTTGGTCTCTGCAGTAGTTGAAGCTGTCTACAAATATTTGTGGGTTGGCGGCTTCGACGGCGGGTTCAACAGATGAACTTGCCCTGTAAGAAAAGTGATGGGCTAGTACTAAGTGCCGAGGCACCGTTTGTCAATTCGGTATCTTGTTGCGAGGCCGGGTTTTTGTAGGAAAAAAGGCGTCAGAGTGCAGACTATCTTCTCAACCCGAGGCAACCGTTTTCTTGATAACGCAAAAGTGTTAAACGCCTCTACTGACGATCATTAACCAGACCGGAAATCTGCAGCGTTGCACTCTGCAGCATCTCACGTTGATGCTTTGGGGTGGCTGGCTGGGCCTCAGATCAAGTGATACAGAAAAAGCAATTAATTATGCGGCGTGCGGGTATGTATTCATGGCACTCGACGTGACGATCAGGTTGTCAAGCTTTGGAAAGGCTAGAAAGGTCAACATCCTTCTTGATGAAGCACATGCTGAAGTGAACCCTGCTATGCAAATCATTAACTACTACCTGCTAACCTAGCTCTTGGAGGTGTTTGCTAACAAAGTCCGCTACTGCACGACACTAACGGAGTTGTGCTCCGTCCGTTAGCTGGGGACATTTTCGGATTGCTCTACCAAGTCCACTCACGGCAGAGTTTATCACATCCCACTTTTATTTCCCATGCCCCTGACTACCAGCAACGTCTTTGACGAAGGTTTTGGGAAATGCCGTGTCTCGGTGCACAAAGACAAAGCCAAAGCCAAAGCCAAAGCCAAAGCCGTCTTGGCTGAGCGTAAGGCCGCTAATGCACAAAGGCTGAGATGGCGCTCGAACATCAAGCCAGAAGTCTGACTTTCGAGCTCTTTTTGGACGCGGCATTATTATGTCTGAGACCTATTGTGTTCAGAGGCTTTCCGAGACCTTGGTACAATGAGAGTCGAGACCAAATGATCGACAAATCTCGGTTCAACGTTGAACCTAACAGGATGGATGACTTGGCTCGTATGCGGGGGATAGAAACGCCACACATCTTTATGTAGCCAACGAGCTGAGCGTGGCGACTCGGAGAGGCGAAGAGACAAGTGCCTAAGTGCTCAAAATGTTAGTAGCCAGCAAATAATGCATACGTCCTTAGACCTCTGGCCATGGTAATCTTAGACAAGCCCTCCATTTGACCTCCATGAATGCTCAGGCATCCTCTCTTACCTATTCAGTCCCTTGATGCTTTTCTTCTTCTCTGTATGTGCTGGCACACAGTCGAAAAGAGCAACGTTTGCCTGCCTCCCACCTCACGTCTTTATAGCTGAGACATTGTTTTTCTAGAGTCTCGAGGGAATAACAATCAAGTTCAGCCTGTCATGGTATGTACCTACCTACCTAGCTTTGTGATATCAACTCCACCTACTTGGTGCATATAGACGTATGACAAGAGCTCTTCATTGTGATTCTGTAAGGCCATGTATGTACCTCTGAAAACGAGCGCCCTGCAGCAAAAAGAGCTGGCTTATCCCTGTCCATTTGTTTGTGCCTTGGAGAAACGGAAGTGAAGTGAATGTCTCAGATGGCTAAATTATAGGATGGTCTGTGCTTACTCGCATCGGGGCTGACGCGAGCTGGCGAGATCTTTGTCCGATCGTTAAATATGTATTTATGGAGATCCCTCGACAGGGGTCATCCTAGCCGTACTGCCGTCCACGTACATATCACTTGTCCGTCCATTTTAAGGTCCACTCCACTCTTTCACTGATACAACGAGACACAGACTCACTGAGGCTGAGAGACTTGGAAACCTCACGATCCCCTTGTAAATGAAGACGCCCTGGCGCCTTCGCTGAAAATAAACTCGTCACATCCATGCGCTCTGGTCTTGATCTGTATCTGTGCATAGGTAGTTGCATTGATCTTTTACCCTTGTACAATTCTTCCGAAACAGAAATAGACCGCTACCTTAGTAGGTAGTATGCATCTGACGTTACATCCAAAAGCCGCTCCTTCCAAGGTACATACCTTAGTTAATCAGACTTGGCTGACCCCGCCATAAAGCTGCTTCTCCGGAGGGGTCACGACAGCCCGATTACCTTGTTGAGACACCTGACATCCGTTCCATGTCCTGGGCTGCTTTCACCAACCGTCCCGATCCCGTCCCGTCCACTTCTCTTCTCACTTCCCTCATCTTCGGTCCTGTATCCCACGTCTTTGTTCCTATTGGGCCATTCCCACTCCCCCCTCCGCCGTCGTCCGGAGCTCTCTCCCGTGACGTCTCCGTTCTTCGGTGCCTAGCTCACAGCCAACTTGCGCAAGAGCTTACATCTTTGTCAGAGTCAACAAAAGCAATTTCTTCAGCGGCGCAACTCGATCATGCCCGCCCTCACAATCAACACCGACAACCCTCCCAGCAATAATCCTCCTTCTCCGACCCGACCGCCTGTTTCCCCTATCACACCTCCCTTGCGTCCTACCCAACGCCCCGCGACCGAAGCTGCAAGCGCAAGTGCAAGCGCCGGCGCCGGCGGTCGTCCAAGCCTTACACATTCACAGCCCGACCAGACTGCGATACCACCGCCTGCGCCTCAACCAATAGCCTTTGATTCCAACCCAGATGTCATTGCGCTCAAGTCGGCGATTTCCATTCTACAAATTCAGCGACAGCGCGCCACTGCCGACATCCAGGCTCTCAGCCGCGCAAAAGACGAAGCCGTCCAGGACCCTGAAGCTTTCATAAAAGACCTTGTCGCAGGCAAGATCAATGCGCCTGAAGATGGTAGCGACAGCGACAGCGACGATGAAGATACAGCGATGAGCGGTCAAGACACCGGCAATCAACAAGACCCCGGTGAAGGGTCCTCCAAACAGCGCATCGCTACCCAATCACCAGCATGGACGAATCTTCCCCAGCCGCAAAATGTGGTTCGCTGCCCGCCCATCAACTGGTCGCAATACGCTGTGGTCGGTGACTCCCTCGACAAACTTCACAACGAACAAGTCACGCGTCCCTACCAGGGTACACCAGCAACGATAGGCGCAAACGGCATGTACGAATTCAGAGGTGAAGGGAAGCAAGAGAGGTACCAAGGTGTGGCGGCGCCCTATAACCCAACACAGGAGCGCCTCAACAAGAAGCCCAAGAGTAGGAGGTCATGAGAAATGATGGCACCATGAGTTACGAAAGAAATCGCATACACAGATCCTAAATATTGTCTTTTGAGCGGAAACTTGATGCAATGGATACATCATATTCAAATATCGGCGTTAGAGGATAGATGGATGGCGTTTCATAGAGTGCAAACAATACAACCCGGCACTTTAATTATGCTCATCACTCATTCTGGTAACGGTGTGATATCTGAACCTCTCAATCAAGCTTGTGTTTGAAGAAAACATCTTGATTCATTATAGCAAGGTCACTGGTCTTATAACCCAATATTAAGAGTAAATCGATAGATTTTCACTGGGGCAAGGGAATAGAGTGACTTGGTATCTCATATGTCTAGTAGCCTTGTGTAGATTATGCCATATGCATCACAACCTAGCCACGGCAATCAAGTCAACCGCATTTTAAGGAAATGGTCCAATCTCAGACCATGTCATTTCAACATGAACCACAGGCCCCAACGCCATGTAAATCAGACCAATGCCCCTGATGTTGACCCAGTACGCCCCCGTGATATTTTCATCTAAGAATCCTGGTATTAAGCCTGACGAGAGCATCCGGGTTACTCTGGGAAGTCCCTATAAACGTCGGTTAGCTTGCGCATAGAATGACTGCAGGATCTTGATCAGGTACTGACTCCATGCTCTGCTGTACGGATCGGCGAAGACGTCGGTTGTATTTCTTCTTGTCGTCTGGGCTTCCTCCCCAGTACATTTTGGTCGCTTCCGGGTTCACAATTTTGCGTGGGTCATAGGCTGGCTCATCATCTTCAAGTATCGCGAAGATGGCATCAACATGGGACCGTACATCTTCCCTTTTCATAGGGTTCGGAGTGTAGCATGCTGTGCCGTCTGCAGCGATGTGGTGGTGAAAGATCTTGGTCTCGAACTTGACACGAGGTTGCTCTTCGGGGAAACGGACGCTAAAGTTCATTTTGATTCTGAACAGGCCGCCGTCGAGGTTGGTCATAGGACGTCCGAAGTATGTTATGACCCAGACGAAGGGGTTCTCGTTCTCGAGAAAAACGTCATGTGGCATATCGCCTCGCTTGAACACTTCGATAACCTGCTCGAACTGATGCTGAAGATTAACAGCAACTGTTGTCTCCTTCTTCTTAGCTTCTAGGCCCTCAGCGGCCCACCTCTCAGGCTCTGCTTCGATGGCGGCCTTGATAGCTTGCAGGCGGCTCCCGAGCTCGGGATAATTGAATTTCCCATCCATTGAGTTGTTTCCTGGCGACTCGAACGGCATTCTTGCAAAAGGCTGGTTGGGCTTGGTCTCTGATTTGCCTTTTTCGATCGCAGCGAGGTATGATTCGTAATACCAAAGAAAGCGGCGTTTGCACAGATCTCTAAAAGGCTCAAAGGGGACGGTAGCCTCGTCAATGTCATCGTCATCCATCTCATTCGCTCCTGGAAGATTGTACAATTGGGTGCCACCAGGGTTCATTCCAAGATAGCCTTCCAGACGTTGGATGACGCTGATACGTAGTGTCTCATGTCGAATCTACCAGGGTTAGAGGTTCTCCTGTAATTTGAAATGGGAACAGACCTTTTGGATATAGTCCTTTTGGTTCTTCTTGTCGCTTTCATCGTTGGCATCCTCGAAACCCGGCTCGTTCTCGTAGGGGTTAGATGAAAGGAGACTTTGGATGGATAATAGAATTGATTCAAGTCCTTGCGCAGATGACCACTCTTCTCCGCGCTCCCCACGCCATGTTCTAGCCATTGTCAGTTCAAACCTCAAATTTTTGACACAATTATATTACCCTAGAATTGATCTGACCGTGTTAGCACATGAGTATAGTGAAGAAGTACTATCTGATTACTTACAGACAGACTTTCCCGTTGCTGTAGACATTGGGGTTGAAGCGACAACGTCCCCCGTTTGTGGTGATACAGACTACACTCGGAGATCTGGAAGGATATTCTGTCATCAAAGATGAGACTAAGCTTTATTATAGTACAAGGGGGGGCCCTACCTTTGTGGAACCGAATGGCAAACTATCGAGTTGAATAAGCCCATCTTTACATAGACAAGGATAAATGCAGCGCTCACGACATACCTCGAAGAACCCAAATTCATAGGGAGTCTCATGGGGACCCATGATCAGGGCCTTTACATTGCGAACATCGATGTCGCGACATGCTACGGCGAGCGCTGCAGTAAAAGGCAGTCGCGTGGTCAGTTTCTCTTTCGAATGCGTGGTACATGCCATCTGGCAAAAGAGACATACACAAGTCACAGTTCTTCTGGATGTCACCCAGCTCCTTGGCATAGTGTTAGTATCTCGAAGGTGGGATCGTGAACGAAGGGATGGGAATGCGAGCGAATGCGGGGCAGCGAACCTTGGAGATGCGAATGATGGACTGGTCCATGGCGCCTCGTATGTTGCAGTCTAGATGTTGATGTTTGAGGACGAGCGCTGACTGCAGAGCGCGACGCACATGGATAAGTTGTTACCAAGTCTGAGGTTATCGATGTGAAGTTTCGGGTGGTGGATGTCAAGTTACTAAGGTAGGTGAGGTGAAGTATAACGTAAGGTAATGAATGTAAGGGTAGGTAGGCGTTGGAGTCTCGAGGTGGGCTGTGTGAGCAGGAGGTATCTTAAGACCGTAGGAGGAAAGTGGGGGAGGCGGGAAGCTCATTGGGGCAGTTTTCACAGCTTGACCAACTACCTACTTAGGTAGGTATTAACAGACAACAGAACTTTACCCTGCCTATTAATGCCCTAGAGGTAGTTCTGAACCTGAAAACATGCAAGTGACCAAAGGTGAGTATGGACGTCTGTTATGTAGATATCAAGGAAATGCGGTTACTATTACCTATTCATTTTATCCTTCTTCTCAGCTATTACATACGGCCTTTTATTACAGCAATCATATTAGATACTTGTCATTCACACTTCAAGTTAGTAATCCCCAATTCAGCATCTACCTGCTACTACTATAAAGTAGCTATATTCAGTATCTTGCATTTTCCTAAACTCCGAAAAAAGCGCTCATAATCATCGTTATGTTTTTAAAATGAACAGATGTAGAGCGCCCCCGAGATCGTTGTGCGCCGGAACGAGCTTGAGCTGTCTTATTCCCTGTCAGCATTTGACCATTGACCGTGAGATATATCATGCGTTTGCTGGTCAAGGCCACATGTCCTAACAAATAACGGGATAAATGAAAACTCATGCTAACTTCCATGTCTAATCACTCCATTCGTTCTTCTGGTTTTCTCTGCCCTCCCTCTTCTCCGTAAAGTTCGGCAACATTTATAGGTGTTTGGTTGATTGTATGGAATCTACGAGTCACACACTACAAAATGTGTAACTATCATGCAAGAATATGGTTTCTTATCTTTTGCTTTATTTTATTTTCTCTTTTGAAGGAAAATAAAAGAGAGAGAAAAAAACCCTCGAGGAATGCAAAACTGTGAGTAGCAAATGCATTATACACTTGAAATCCTAAACGCCAACCATGATCATTTTACACCAAACCATAAGCTACCTACCCGGGAGCTCAAGGAGGTGGGCCCAGCGGGGTGCAGTTAGGTTACCAAGATCCTTGCCTTAAGGGGAAGCGCTGTGGTTGCCATTGGTGACGCGCTGCGCGTTTCTTAACGCGTAAATTGGTCTTACCATCAAGGCAAGTCAGTGATTCTAAATCACCATTTCGCACACTGGTTTCCTCCGCCCTCACATACAACCTCAGCCGCGGGCAGCCCGACAAGCCAGCATATAATTGAATCAAGATGGCGAGCTTTTTCGACCTCAAGGCCAGAAAGGCAGCAGCGGCAGGCAACGGTAACGCTGACCAGAAGCAAGATAAACCTTCAAATACCCGAACTCAACCCTGGGTCGAGAAATAGTACGTGAAACTCGAAAATACAATATATTACTCGAGACTTAACACACCCAGCCGGCCAAAGACCCTCAGCGATGTTACTGCTCAAGATCACACTGTTGATGTTCTCCAACGGACACTACAGTCCTCCAACGTACAACATCCCCCTTGCTCTGAACTGCGAGAAGCTTCAATACTAATACTTCATAGCTCCCTCACATGCTGTTTTACGGGCCTCCCGGGACAGGTAAAACTTCGACAGTTCTGGCACTCGCCAAGGAACTATACGGTCCCGATATGATTAAATCGAGAGTCCTCGAGCTCAATGCCTCCGACGAGCGTGGTATCTCTATCGTCCGAGAAAAGGTCAAGAACTTTGCGCGAATGCAATTGACCAACCCGGCCCCCGGCTACAAGGACAAATACCCTTGCCCTCCTTTCAAGATCATTATCCTCGACGAGGCCGATTCCATGACACAAGATGCCCAAAGCGCACTGCGACGAACCATGGAAACATACAGCAAGATTACTCGATTCTGTCTCATCTGCAATTATGTGACTCGAATTATTGACCCTCTTGCCAGTCGATGCAGCAAATTTCGATTCAAGAGCCTCGATCAGAGCAATGCAAAGAAGCGACTGGAGGAGATTGCAGAGAAGGAGGGCGTACCACTTGAGGACGGCGCTGTTGATGCACTCATCAAGTGCAGCGAGGGTGATCTTCGAAAAGCCATTACTTTCTTGCAAAGTGCTGCTCGGCTCGTTAGCGCTAATGCCCCCGACAGGGAGGTTGGGGGTGATGAGGTGATGGATGTGGACAAGAAGGCGGTCACAGTCAAGATTGTTGAGGATATTGCTGGTGTCATTCCGGACACGACCATCGATGATCTCGTCAAAGCAATACGTCCGAAGAAGTCAGGATCCTCCTACCAGATCATTTCGGACGTTGCTGAGAAGCTAGTTGCGGATGGCTGGAGCGCAGGTCAAGTGGTCAACCAAGTAAGTCTCATCCTTCGTATCACTGAACTGCTACTAATAATTCTTGTGACAGCTCTACCAAGCCTTAACATATGACGAGACGATACCCGATGCACAGAAAAACAAGATCGTGCTGGTTTTCTCAGAAGTTGACAAACGATTAGTAGATGGAGCAGATGAGCATCTCTCTATTCTCGATCTGTCAGTGAGGATATCGAGTATCATGTCCAAGAAGTGAGTTCGCCGCTCGGTATCTAGTGTGCTGCATCAAGAGATGAGGGACGGAGTCGTGGTTAGAAATGGGTTGGCGTTTTAAAACTGGCTCGATATTACCAGGCATCTATTGTACCTGTCGTTGTTATTCTAATCCTGTGCTGTGCCTCCCTGACCAATCAATCCGAGGTTACCTTGCAGACTAGACCACGCATCTCTCGGCTCTGTGATTCTCTTCTCTGTATGCCTTCTCGCCTTGCTTGGGGATTTGGGACCTGCTTCAAGCCAAACGTCATCCTCCGTTGTATCGACCTGTGTTTCTTCTTCCTCAGCCGCCCCGCCCTGACCCAAAAGCTGGTCAATTTCTTGTAGAGTCTGCATTGAGTTCTCCAACGCAAGCTGTCCACCTTCAATCTGCTCTGCCACATTTTCTAGCGTAGTGATCTTGGCCGAATCTGCAGCGAGAACCCAAGGTTGTACCTTGCCTGTCAGACCTGAGCGCTTGTCCGAAGCAAGGAACTCCCCCAGTCCAGACCTCCTCCGAGACGTTGGTGCCACCGAATGAGATGGAAGCAGTTGACTTTCTTCTTCCAAATGACTGAGCGACTGACAGTTATCCTTGATTTCTTTCCCGAGTGTCGTATTTACATGTGCTTTTTGTGTTATCATAGCCCTCTGCTTTTTGGAAAGGGCAAGGAGAGACTCGATGTATGGTGTCAGGAGATAGGTACTTGATGCAGGTTCTGGTTCATCAACTTGTTGCTTGGTGGAGGAGGGTGCCAGAACAGGAACAGCCGATGACTCGAATCGTTCACCAGCAGAAGCGAGGAGGGACCGCCTCGTTGCAAGATAATGGGCGTACTTTTCTTTGATAATGTTGAGATGGTTGTTTATCGTTGCCTGGTCCGCCGTTGATTGGCTGTGGCCCTTGGAACCGTCCTCATCCGCATCCGCATCCTCATCCCCTGATGCCTTGCTCAACTCTGTCTCAATCCAATTGATAAGCTCATTCCTTGTTGTGTTAAGAGCATGTAGTCTGATGCCATTGCTGATAACATCTGGTATGCTCTGAGCATTTGCTCTTGTTTCTCGAAGTAACTGCTCCTCTCGTCGCAGAAGGAGTTTGGCCCTCAAGACCGTTTTTTCAAGCTGTGCAACTTGTTCGGTTAGGTCCGTCTTCTTCAGGCTCTGTTGTGCAACAAGACTGTTCACCACCTCCTTTGGGACACTTGGTAGACTGGTAGCATCATGAAAAACATCCTCGGGGTCGAAATATTCAGGAGCAGCGGCCGGCTTTTGCATGAGTGAGTCCAGGTGAGTTTGGACGGCTGTAAGTCGCGCTTGTTTCGCCTGGAGCTTTAGAAGGGAGACCTGCTCTTCTAGTAGCTCACTGCTGGATGAGAGCTCTTTGGCTAATGACGAGGAGGGAAGATTAGATTGGGCAGCATCTTCATAATTTCGACAGGCATCAACATTTGCCTTGAGAGCCTCAATGTATTCCCTGTAGATTCCCTTCGAATTTGAATTCAGAGTTATGTCGCGTGTTGGATCTGCCAAAGACACAGGCTGTTTGACTGGGCCATCATGAGAACATGTTCCGAGATGAAGAGCCAAAACTCGCCGAATGTAGTTCACTTGTTCCCGTGGCTTGATATATGGATCAAGTGTCTTCTGAAATGTCTCAGCGGTCTCAGAAGAATTTGCCATTGTGAATCATGGTTTGTCGGTGAAGAAATCCCTGGCCTAGGCTTGTTGCTCTGGTCTCGGTGAAAGTAAATAGACGAAATATGTTAGTCCATGGGCAGCTTAGACAGTACCGAAGTGTGGCTAGTGATCCCCCCTGAACCAACACCGCAGTCATCACACAATGAATAGGTAATCTTGAGTTATTTCTTCACATTGAAGTTTGAGTTTATACCCGAACTCATTCTCTTTGTAGTCTTGTAAACAATCAAATGCATTCAGAATAATGAATTATGACCTGGGCTCTGGCCCCATATGCATTTGCGCCACACAAGCTCTTATCCGAACCGGGCCTAGTGCAGGAGCCTGGTAGGCTGAGATTCGAAATTTACGATCGCGACTTGAACTTCTAAACCTTGAGTCAACTACACATCTTTTCAAAACGACTGCGCACCAATCGCAGACTACAGAATACTCAGGCAACAGCTATATATCTGACTGAGTCGCGTCGGTGGCAAACTAATGGTTATTTAAGTGTCAAGCGCCCCAGGCTTTGTCGAGAACATCGACGTTCTCTATCAATTACAACACAACATAATAACAGTCTAGCCATCATGTCCGACCCAAATCGAGATGTGTCGCAGTACAAGTACTCGGCCATGTCGAACCTGGTTCTCCAGGCCGATCGTCGATTCGTTACAAGACGAACTGATGAGGCTACTGGCGATCCAGAGTCGCTGGCTGGTCGCTTGAGTATTCGAGATATGGGTGCTCGAGTTGCACGCGATGACGCGCCAAAACCGAAGAAACAGCCTGGACTCCCCGCAATCGAGCGAGGTAGTTTAAGAGAAGACGAAGATATTCTGGCACGAGAACAGCGCAAACGAAAGGCAGAGGCGCCTCAATCGACAGGTATCCTCGGCGCCAACGATATTTTGGTGGATGGCATCACATACCGACCCCGAACCGCAGCGACGCGACAGACTTTCGACCTCATCATTACCTCGGTAGCAAAAACTCTGGGCGACGTATCCCACGACGTCGTACGCAGCGCCGCGGATGCCGCCCTGGAATTTTTGAAGGATGATGATATGAAAGATCTGGATAAAAAGAGGGAAATCGACGACATCTTGGGTGTGACACTAAACCCCAAGGAATTTAATGAGTTGGTGAACCTCGGCAAGAAGATCACAGATTACGACGCCCAGGACGACGACGACGACGTTGCGATGGGTGGCGCCGACGGTGAGGATGCTGAAATAGACGAGCGCCAGGGTGTCGCGGTCGCGTTCGATGAAGACGAAGAGGATGACGAGGGGGGCCTTGTTCATGAAGTCCGTGACGAATCTTCAGAGGACGAAGAGGAAGAGGAAGAGAAGGAAGAGAGTGCTGAAGGCAAGGAAGAAGATGCTGTTGCTGATGTTGGGGATGAGATGATTCTCGACTCAGCTCCTTCAGGCGGCAAACAAGATGAGAAAGACAAGCATAGCATACCAGCCCAAGACATCGATACATTTTGGCTACAACGGCAAATCGGCACACTATACCCCGACGCTCATGAGCAAAGCGACAAAACAAAGGAGGCTCTGAAGATCCTGTCAGGAGAACCTGGTGAGGATGGCGAGGAAAAGTCCTTGCGTGATGTTGAGAATGATCTCATGGAACTGTTCGACTACGAGCACCATGAGCTGGTTCAGAAGCTTGTTGAGAACAGGGAGAAGGTTTTCTGGCTTACAAAATTAGCACGAACCCAGACCACTGAAGAGCGTGCTGATGTTGAGCGTGAAATGGTCTCAGAGGGTCTTCAATGGATTCTCAATGAACTGAAGGGTAAAGACACTGCCGAGGGCAAGAAGGGCAAGATTGACATCAAGATGGATATTGATGTCCCAGCTTCCTTTACCGCGGATGGACCCAAGGTTGAACGTGCCGAGGGCCAACTTGTCGGCGGGCTTCAGCCTCGAAAACTCATCAACCTCGATAATCTGGTCTTCGATCAAGGAAATCACCTGATGACAAACCCCAAGGTCCGGCTACCAGAAGGTTCAACCAAAAGGACGTTCAAAGGTTATGAGGAAATTCACATCCCTACTCCTAAGAAACGCAATGAGCCTGGCGATGTCTTGATACCCATTTCCGATATGCCAGAGTGGTCACGAAATCCCTTCAGTAAGAATCAGTCCTTGAACAAGATCCAGTCCAAGTGCTATCCTTCAGCATTCGATGATGATGGAAACATGCTTGTTTGTGCTCCTACTGGCAGTGGAAAAACCAATGTTGGTATGCTCGCTATTCTCCGGGAGATTGGAAAGCATCGCAACCCTGAGACCGGCGATATCGATCTAGACGCTTTTAAGATTGTCTGTATCGCTCCTTTGAAGGCTCTAGTTCAGGAACAGGTTGGCAACTTGGGTGGTAGGCTCGAGCCGTATGGCATTCGAGTCGCAGAATTGACAGGTGATCGTCAACTTACCAAGCAACAAATCGCTGAGACACAAATCATCGTCACAACCCCTGAGAAATGGGACGTCATCACCAGAAAGTCCAATGACTTGACTTACACCAACCTCGTGCGCCTCATCATTATCGACGAAATCCACCTTCTCCATGACGACCGTGGCCCTGTACTGGAAAGCATTGTTAGCCGAACCATCCGCAAGACTGAACAAACTGGCGAGCCAGTCCGAATTATTGGTCTTTCTGCCACCCTGCCCAACTACAAAGATGTTGCGAGCTTCTTGCGAGTGGACACGAAGAAGGGTCTCTTCCACTTTGACGGGTCTTTCCGACCCTGTCCTCTACGACAGGAGTTTGTTGGTGTCACTGACCGTAAAGCCATCAAGCAGCTAAAGACCATGAACGACGTCTGCTACAACAAGGTGATCGAGCATGTGGGCACAAACCGCAACCAGATGCTCATCTTTGTGCATTCCCGAAAAGAGACTGCCAAGACTGCTCGCTATATCCGTGATAAGGCTCTTGAGTCAGACACAATCAACCAGATCCTTCGTCACGATGCTGGTAGCCGTGAAGTCCTCAATGAAGCGTCTTCTCAGGCAACCGACCAAGACCTCAAGGATATTCTGCCATATGGTTTCGGCATCCACCATGCTGGTATGAGCCGAGCTGACAGGACAGATGTCGAAAACCTTTTTGCCCATGGTGCTATCCAGGTTCTGGTGTGTACTGCTACGCTGGCTTGGGGTGTGAACTTGCCTGCCCATACAGTTGTCATCAAGGGAACACAGGTGTACTCCCCCGAGAAGGGTAGCTGGGTTGAGCTCAGCCCTCAAGACGTTCTTCAGATGCTTGGACGTGCGGGTCGACCCCAATACGATACTTACGGAGAAGGTATCATCATTACGACACAGAGTGAAATGCAATACTATCTCTCACTTCTGAATCAGCAGCTTCCGATTGAGAGTCAGTTTGTTAGCAAGCTGGTGGACAACCTGAATGCCGAAATCGTCCTTGGCAACGTAAGGACTCGTGATGAGGGTGTTGAGTGGTTGGGTTACACATACCTCTTTGTCAGAATGCTTCGCTCGCCTGGACTCTATCAGGTAGGCGCAGAATATGAAGATGATGTGGCTCTTGAGCAGAAGCGAGTTGACTTGATTCATTCTGCCGCCATGGTTCTGCGAAAGTCAAATCTCATCAAGTATGATGAAAAGACTGGAAAGCTCCAGTCAACTGAGCTTGGTCGTATCGCTTCACATTACTATATCACATTCGGTTCTATGGAGACTTACAACAACCTGATCCAGCCTTCTATCACCACGATTGAGCTCTTCCGTGTCTTCGCCCTCAGTGCTGAATTCAAGTATATCCCAGTTCGACAGGATGAGAAGCTTGAGTTGGCTAAGCTGCTGGGCCGAGTCCCAATCCCTGTCAAGGAGAGCATTGAGGAACCTCACGCCAAGATCAATGTCCTCTTGCAGGCATACATCTCGCGCCTCAAGCTCGATGGCCTCGCGCTCATGGCCGACATGGTGTACGTTACGCAATCTGCGGGTCGTATCTTGCGCGCCATCTTTGAAATCGCAATGAAGAAAGGCTGGGCATCCGTTGCGAAGACTGCTCTGGACCTCTGTAAAATGGCCGAGAAGCGGATGTGGCCAACAATGTCACCTCTTCGACAGTTCCCCTCTTGTCCTCGGGATGTTATCCAAAAGGCTGAGAAAATCGATGTGTCTTGGAGCAGCTACTTTGATCTGGATCCTCCCCGTATGGGTGAGCTTCTTGGCCTTCCTCGAGCCGGCCGTACTGTATGTGGCTTGGTCAACAAGTTCCCGCGAGTCGAAGTCCAGGCTCAAGTTCAACCTATGACAAGATCGATGCTGCGTGTCGAGCTGAGCATCACACCTAATTTTGAGTGGGACGATTCTATCCACGGCGCCGCCGAGAGCTTTTGGATTATTGTTGAGGACTGCGATGGAGAAGACATACTTTACCATGACACCTTTTTGCTGCGCAAGGAATATGCCGAATCGGAGCAAAATGAGCACATTGTCGACTTCACCGTTCCTATCACAGATCCAATGCCTCCAAACTACTTCGTTTCGGTTATCTCTGACCGATGGATGCATGCTGAGACCAGGCTTCCTGTTCCCTTCCATAAGTTGATCTTACCTGAGAAGTTCCCTCCTCATACAGAGCTTCTTGAGCTTCAGCCTCTCCCCGTTTCTGCCCTCAAAGTATCAAGCTACGTTGATCTCTATCCTGCATGGAAGCAGTTTAACCGAATCCAAACGCAGACTTTCAACTCGCTGTACAAGTCTGATGCGAATGTGTTTATTGGAGCTCCCACTGGTAGCGGCAAGACTGTTTGTGCCGAATTTGCTCTTCTAAGGCACTGGACAAAGAGCGATGTTGGTCGTGCCGTGTATATTGCACCCTTCCAAGAGCTTGTTGACTCTCGCCTCCAAGATTGGCAGAAGAGGCTCGGCCATCTCCATGGCGGTAAAGAGATAGTGAAGCTTACCGGTGAGACGGCAACAGATCTCAAGCTGTTGGAAAAGGGCGACCTGATCTTGGCAACCCCAACTCAGTGGGATGTGCTATCAAGACAATGGAAGCGACGCAAGAACGTTCAAACGGTTGAATTGTTTATCGCTGACGAGGTCCATCTCCTTGGCAGTTCTCAAGGTTATGTGTACGAGACGATTGTCTCGCGTATGCATTACATCCGCACACAGACAGAATTGCCCCTGCGAATTGTTGCATTGAGTGTATCGCTGGCGAACGCTCGAGACATTGGTGAATGGGTCGATGCAAAGAAGCACGACATCTATAACTTCAGTCCACACGTTCGACCGGTCCCTCTTGAGCTTCACCTCCAGTCATTCACAAATACTCATTTCCCGTCTCTCATGCTTGCCATGGCCAAGCCCACGTATCTGGCCATCACACAGATGTCTCCTGACAAACCTGCCATGATCTTTGTGCCCAGCCGCAAGCAGACTCGTGCAACTGCCCGAGATTTGTTGGCTGCAGCCTTCGCTGACGACGACGAGGACCGTTTCCTTCACGCTGAGGTAGAGCAAATGAAGCCTCTCCTTGAACGCATTAACGAGGAGGCTCTCGCCGAAGCCCTCTCTCATGGTGTTGGCTACTACCATGAGGCTCTTAGCCAGAGTGATAAGCGAATTGTTAAGCATCTCTACGACAACGGTGCTATCCAGGTGCTTGTTGCTTCACGCGATGTTTGCTGGGAGCTCAACAGCACAGCACATCTCGTTATCGTTATGGGCACACAATACTTTGAAGGTCGGGAGCACCGATATGTTGACTACCCTCTCAGTGAGGTGCTGCACATGTTCGGTAAAGCTCTTAGACCCTCCAAGGATGGCAGAGGCCGAGGCGTCCTTATGCTGCCCCAAGTCAAGCGCGAGTACTACAAGAAATTCCTAAATGAGGCCCTTCCTGTTGAGTCGCATCTGCACAACTACTTGCACGATGTCTTCGTGACAGAGATCAGCACCAAGATGATTGAGTCGGGCGACGATGCGATCAACTGGACTACTTTCACCTACTTCTACCGAAGGTTGCTTGCCAACCCAAGTTATTATAGCTTGACAAGCACAACGCATGAGGGCCTCAGCAACTACATGTCTGACTTGGTTGAGACGACTCTTCGTGAGCTCAGCGAATCCAAGATCATTGAGTTTGACGAGGATGACGGATCCGTGGCACCTCAAAACGCAGCCATGATTGCGGCATACTACAACATTTCCTACATCACGATGCAGACTTTCCTGCTCTCTTTGAGTGCTCGCACAAAGCTCAAAGGTATCATGGAAATCGTCACTTCAGCAACAGAGTTCGAGTCGATCCAGATTCGACGTCATGAGGATGGTCTGCTGCGACGCATTTACGACCGAGTGCCTGTGAAGATGTCTGAACCAGTTTATGACTCCCCTCATTTCAAATCCTTCGTCTTGCTCCAGTCTCACTTTTCCCGCATGCAGCTGCCAATCGATCTTGCAAAGGACCAGGAGGTCCTACTGTCGAGGGTGCTGAGCCTTCTTAGTGCCATGGTCGACATTCTGTCGTCGGAGGGACATCTCAACGCCATGAGCGCTATGGAGATGTCGCAGATGATCGTTCAGGGAATGTGGGATCGGGATAGCCCTCTTAAACAAATTCCCCACTTCTCGCCGGAGGTTGTTAAGGTGGCCAATGAGTTTGGGTACGTACTGACTGAAAGATTGGCCGGACCGTCAGCTAATGTTGTTTGCAGAATTAAGGATATCTTTGATTTCATGGAAGCCATGAACCCGGATGAGAATGCCGATTACAACAAGCTTGTTAAGCGACTTGGCTTGTCACAAAACCAATTGGCACAGGCTGCAAACTTCACAAACGACAAGTATCCTGACCTGGAGCTTGAACATGAGGTTCTTGACGAGGGTGAGATCAGGGCAGGCGAACCGGCCTACCTCAACATCAAGATTGCCCGCAATTTGGAAGAGGAGGACGGCGATTATGACTCTACCGTACACGCACCATTCTACCCGTCCAAGAAGATGGAGAATTGGTGGTTGGTTGTTGGTGATGAGAAGACCAAGAGCCTCTTGGCCATCAAGCGAGTGACAATCGGGCGGGAACTGAACGTTCGCCTCGAGTACACTGTGCCATCACCAGGTGAGCATGACCTGAAGCTGTTCCTAATGAGTGATAGTTATGTTGGAGTCGACCAGGAGCGGGAGTTTTCGGTTACAGCTGCCGAGGGCATGGACGTGGATGACGATGAAGAGGAAGAGGACGAGGACGAAGACGAGGAGTAGAAGCTAAAAGCTCACTCTGATTTACAATTACCATGGCGATTGCCAGCGATGGCGTTGTACACTATTCAAGACTACGAATTCGGATTTAGGAGATAATAATCGAATCTATCAACTCGGGACTATGACTGAGATGTGCGTTTTTGAGAAGAGTGTTCTGGATACAAGGCGAGTTTTGTGGATGTCTAACAATGCACTACAAGTGAGAGAGGCGCGAGGTGCTGAGATCCAGTGTTCACAACGCCAAACGCGTCCAGAGAGAGCTAGGCCCACGACGTGACATTTGCCGGGAATTGGGCAGTGAAGATGGTGAGAAAAGAGACTACGGACGCGTCCCTCCGACGGTCTTGTATACCAGGGCGTCGAATCAGCGTCGACTACGCGCTGGGCCATTGATGTCGTGTGTGAGAGGGAGAGAGCCTGGGGTTGGGGATGACGCCGCCCGCAGCGCAAATGCCAGATGGGCCCATCACGTGACCGATGCTCTGGTGACGTTTGAAAGTGCTTCTGTTTCCCTTGCAAAGCCCAGTCCAGTCCCAGGCCAGCCCATCAACTCGCACCAGCGTTTTTTCCTCGTCAACCCCAACATCGCGGCACAACTCGAAGAGGCGCCCATCATCATCAATTGCGCAAATCATCGCCAACACATCATCACCATCGCTCTACGAACCTTGCGCTCCATTGACACGCGCAATACAGCATCCGCTACGCGTTCGCCTATCTTTTGCGAGCTGGAATTCTTCCTCTGGCTCCTGTGATTTGTGACAAGCGAAAACATTGTCACCGCTATTGCCATGGCCGACCAGATTAACGAGAAGCCTGAGGTAGAGGCAACTGCTCCCGGCGCGCAGGAAGTTCCTGCCGCAGAGAAGCCTACTGAGCCATCGACGAGCGGGAACGAAGCCGCAAAGGCCGATGGCGAGGCAAATAAGGAAGATACAAAGACCGCTGAGGGTAAGTTATGATTACAGAGCGTTTGCTATTCATTGCGCACTCGGTCGCATTGGCATAGAAATCGCGCTTTGATCCCTCGTGTGCTCTGTCGCTCAGGCGCGTCCTTCCCTCTGTCAGATCCATGCTGACCACATCGCGCAACAGAAACCAAACAAGCTGGAAACTCAGAGAAACCCGCCGAAGATAAAGACGCGGCCGAAGCACCGAAGGAGAACTCAAAGCCCACTGAAGAGGGTGCAGATACCGAAATGAAGGACGCGACTGAGGCCGCGGCTGCCGGGGAGACCAAGGCCGAGAACTCCGCTCCATCTGCCGATGGTGAGACAGCAACCGAAAACGCCGCCACCGAGTCTGCCTCAGCAAAAGCGAAGAACAATAGACGAAAGTCGACTGGTGGTGCCAGCCGCAAGAGCCTGAGCAAGAAGGCCTCCAAGGCGCGTCTCACGCATTTAGACGCCAAGCCTGGAGACCACTTCTTGGTCAAGCTCAAAGGTTTTCCCGCTTGGCCTGCCATCATTTGCGATGAATCAATGCTGCCACAAGCTCTGGTCGATAGCCGCCCTGTGGCCGCCGCGCGACCTGATGGCTCCTATACCGAGGCATATGCTGATGGTGGCAAACGTGTCAACGACAGAACTTTCCCAGTCATGTATCTCCACACGAACGAATTGTACGTTGTAGCTCATCACCGTTTCCGATCATCGCTAACCTGACTACAGTGGCTGGGTACCCAATACTGGACTTACAGAACTTACTCCTGAAAAGGCCAGGGAGACCATCACCGAGAAAATGCGCAAGGATTTGAAAGAGGCATTCTCGCTCGCTGCCGAGCACAACTCTATCGAACACTACAAGGACGTGCTCAAGCAATTCCAAGATGAACTGCTTGCCAAGCAGCAAGCCGCTGCGACTCCCAAGAAGAGCAAGAAGGGCAAGGCCAAAGCTGCTGACGAAGACGTCGAAATGGAAGACGCCGATGATGCTTCAGAGAAGTCCAAGTCCAAGAAGCGCAAGGCTGAGGATGACGCCAGTGTAATTCTTCCAATACGGCGTTGCTGATTCATTTTGCTAACAAAACTGCCAGACACCACAACGGCCCGAATCCGTTAAGAAACCCAAGATTAAGCTCAATACATCAACGCCTAAGGCTGCCAATGGCACTCCTAAGGCCAAGGAGGAATCTGCTGCCAAAGCCAAGGTCAAGGTTAAGAAGTCGACTGATAAGAAGGCTGAGACCACCAAGAAGGCCAAGATGACACCCGAGGAGCGAAGACACCACAAGGAGGTGAGATAAATGCATCTGTTTATTGACCGATCAATTTACTGACAACTTTACAGAAGGAAGTGTTGTATCTCCGTCATAAGCTTCAGCGAGGTCTCCTCACCAGAGATCAGCAACCCCAGGAATCAGAGATGGAACATATGTCCGAATACGTCACAATGTTGGAGAATTTGAAGGATCTTGAGGTGTCCATCATTCGTGCGACCAAGATCAACAAGGTTCTCAAAGCTATCCTCAAATTGGAATCGATCCCCCGTGAGGACGACTTCCATTTCAAGGACCGTTCCAAGGTTCTTCTGGACCAGTGGACTCAGCTACTGGCTACTGAAAATGTCACCCCTGCTCCCGATGCCACCAACGGCGTCAATGGCAAATCGGAAGCCAAGGCAGACGACAAGAAGGACGATAGTGGCAAGGAGACTACTGAAGAGCCAAAACCTGAGGCGACAAAGACTGAAGAAGCCAAGACTGAGAAGCCCGAGGAGACTGAGGAGGAGAAGATTGCGGAAACACCACAAGCATCGGCGCCTGAAGAGAAGAAGGACGAGGTAAGTTGGAAAAAACAGCCCCTATCGTCATGAGCTTGACTAATCGAAGAACAAGACCGTCGCTCCTCCCGAGCCTGTTGAAGCTGCTGCCTAAGTTATGGTTTAGCTCCTGGTGGTTTAGAGCAATTTGTTTCATGGCGTCACGGTTATGGTCCACAAACACTGGTCTTTTTTCCGATTTTCAACTTTTTCTTATGCTTTTCTTCACAACTATGGTAAAAGTGACTTCGTCGCGTTGCGTCTTTTCGGTGTCTGTATGAATATCTGCCAAATCTGGCGGCAGGGGTGCGCCGTGACTCTCCGGAGTCATAATGATCTCAGGAGTGACGGAGGCAAGAAACATCTTTTTTGGAGGGACTGTACAAAGGGCAAAATCAACAATACTGGGTCAGGGGGCTCGCTTTACGTGGGTTTCTATAAACCAGTTTGGACAGGAGACGAGCATGGTATGGATGTCGAGACGGCATATGGGATGGGTGGCAAACGAGGCGAAGCAAGCTCAAAGAATGAGATGATGACCTTCGAGAGGAGGCATATGAGAATGAGGATTTGGGGAGCAATAGCATACAGATGATGAATGGGACAAAGAATTAGAAGCATTCTATATAAAGTGTCTTATTTGTTTGCGATGAATAGTATAGGAACCCGTACAGATCGTATATATCAGTCATTGTCTACCTACCTACTAAGGGATCTTGCTTGCTTCGTGTGAAATCTGTGAAATCTGTGTGATTGTGTACCTCTAGGAAGGCACGTACGGATACGATCTTGCTGGTTGTTGGGGTACAGTGCGTATTACAGTGCTAACATGCTGGCTCACTGTCTAAAACGCGTTGACCATTCACCCTCGATCCAAGCTCAGGAGCCTCTTCATCCTCCAAGACTTCAATAACTTGTGCAGCATAAAACTGTTGATCATGGCTCGTGAAGTAGTCAATCAGGACACATATAGCCAAGAGGATCATCAGGTAGCTAAAAATCTAATCATGAAACTTGTGCAATGCATTTCACTAACTTGGTCAACAGGTCGCATATATATTTGACCCTGACGACGATGGGACACGCCAGAAGCCAGCCAAGCGGAGAAGAAGATCCAAGCAAGGCCAGGACTCTGCTGAAACATTGGAAGGTTCATCCGCTTTTGTCCCTCTTCTCAACGGTGCTGAGAAACCTGAACTCGTCAAATTAAGGGAGAGATTGTTCCAGGAGAGCTGGGCTAAGATTGATGAACGGATCGAGGTGAGTGAACGAAGCTTATCCACCCGATGTATCACTCACATGAATCAGAGAATACTCAAAACTTCAAACATCGAGACTCTCAATGAAGTCAGCCAGTTTGCCAAAGACGCGGTGACAGAATCGTAAGAGTCATACTCCTGATATACCTGCAACCCCTAATATTTGGATAGTGGGGATAGAATCCCTTCAGCATTCATCATCACAGGACCCAACATTGCATCACAAGACCTTCTCTTTCAACAATTATCGGAGACACTTCAGCAAACAACATCGAGCAAGTTTGTTGGTCTGCGGTCGTCAGAGGCATCGACGCTGAAAGCCACGTTGAAGAAGATCATTCGAGATGTCACTGCCAAAGCGTCCACTGATGAGGATGATGATCTTGAAGTCAGTGACGGTCGAGAGGTGAGTTATCTGCATCTTCATAGAACAACACTTATTTTCTATAGGGACGAAGGTATCTCGATTATGATCTTGAAGCACTGCATGCATTTATCAAGCCTCAAAGTGTGGAGCATGTGTTTGTCGCCTTTCAAGACAGTGAAGGGTTCGACAGCAGTTTATTATCGGATTTGATCATTCTCTTCAAGTACGTCTACGCCTCGGACACTTGATTCACGGCTGCTAACACGTCAACAAGCTCTTGGCGCCCTCGTATACCATTTACCCTCCTCTTTGGTATCGCCACATCAGTCGAGCTTCTCCAAGCCAGACTGCTCAAGGCTTCTTGCCAGCAAATTTATGGAGCGCAATTTGATGTAATTCAAACCTCGGCCATTCTCGAGACAGTCTTCAAAACAGCGGTAGCAACATCTGATGCTCCTGTAGTGCTGGGGGCATCGCTCATCCGCAGCCTGCTTGATCGTCAGCACGACCAGGTCTCAGGCATTCAGACATTTACTATGTCACTGAAGGCGAGCTTTGAACAGATAATATAAACAAGTCTCATGTCAGCTAACAAATAATAGTACGCTTATATGTGTCATTTCTATGCAAATCCACTCAGCGTTCTCGAGCATACCGCATTGTTGCAAACTGAGCATATCGAGGCCATTCGGCATACTGATTCTTTCAGGGAAAATGTCGAGGGGGCAGTAGAATCTGGCATCTTGAATAATGTGCAATACGCCAAAGATTTGCTTGAGAACGACGAGTTTCTCGTTACGCGAGTTCAAGATAGTCTGGCCCGTCGTCAAGAGTCTGTTGAGGATTTCTTGCGGTCACTTCTTGTTCTCGGAGAAACAGAATCGCAAGACATTGAGTTCTCAAGAGCATATGCGGAAGCCTTGGGTGAGGGCGTTTCAATTACTGAGGACTCGAGAGCTATTGAGTCGGTACGGCGTATGGACGTCAGCGAGCTGCTGGTCATGCTTCGCAAGGTTGTATCAATCTTGCAGGACGGGGACGGTGGCTTGCTTCTCGGTCCAGCAACGAAGCTAACGGACCTTGAATTTCGAGATGCACTGACAAGGCAACTTGTCAATCTGGAAGAGCTACAATCAAGGGCGGAAGAGCAGGGCATTACACTACGGAGCAAGTACAGCGGACAGAGCAAAGTGATGCGCACCACTGTGATTGCACAAAGAGTTCAATTGAGTCAAGACTCGGCCGCGCTCACAGATGAGGACAAGCAACTTACTCAGGCCGTCGACGACATCACCGGGCTATTAATCAGGCATGTTCAGTTTGTCAGACCGGGGTCTCTTTTGTTGTCGGAGAGCTGGTTATACGATTCTCGAGCTCCGTCGCGAGACGTGTTCGTGCCTCGGCCACGGGCAGTTCTAGAACGGAGCCTCACCAGGCCGCACGACTATTTGTCATGTTCATGCTGCAAGCCAGGCGGTGGAGGATCGCCGGCCACTCTGCCGGCCACGGCGCTCCTATACCGTCTATACACAGAGACTGGGAGCCTCATCAATGTGGCAGATCTCTGGGCTGCATTCTCAGCACTTGTGGGCGAGGAGGAGACAGATGAACGCAAGTCGCTGGTATTGTTTTACCGTGCGCTGGCTGAGCTGAGGGCTTTGGGGTTCGTCAAAGCAAGCAAGAAGAAAGCGGACCACATCGCCAAGCTGAAGTGGCTCTGAGTATGGAGAATTGCGATTGCATTGGTCGACAAAGTTTGAGAAAGAGAGACATGGCGAGAAGATTAAAGACTGCAACCGCCAAATGGGGATGGTCCTTTGTATTTGAGGGGATGAGACGGGATTAACCAAGTCTGGAAACAGGTTTTTGGGGGAGGGGGGGTTGAGATGGGAACCGAGGTCGAGCCCAATGGGCCATTGAGGGGCCTAGTGATAGGCCGCAAAAAGAAGAGGAGAGAAAAGGTGTCGTCAGTCTAAGACATTGAAAGAACTAAGACACGAGGTGGCTGGGAACCAAGAGCGAGTGAGACTATGAGTGAGTAGTGAGTTGAGTATGTACGAGACGTGAGAGTGAGAGAGAGTGTGGGAGTGAAAGTGGAGGGTGAGTGAAGTCACGGTTACAGCCAACGCAGCAAAATCCAAGACATGCAGGTAGAGACTCAGACAGGCATCATTAGACGCCGGGAGCGGAGGGAACTGCATAGAACAAAGCATCATGTGAATGAACGATAACGGTGAAGGGCTATAGCTAGTACCTACATTAACTACGTTAGTACCCAGGCTTACACTCAAGGGATTGCCATTATAGTCAATCAATCAATGAAACAATGAACCAAAATAGAAAGAGAAGGGAATAAAGAAAGAAACCAAAAAGAGTAGCGGTAAAGATACTGAATGTATGTATGTATGTATGTATGTATGTATCTCATTGTCTCGCTTTTGAGTCATGACCAACTAATGGCTCCAAGTCACATTCCACTGCAGCCGCTGTTGGTGTATCTTGCTCCCATAGACATAGCGCCTCGGGCCAACCCAATTGCGTGCGTCTAACGCAGTCGAGTCGAGTCGGGTCGAGTTATTGTTTGTTGGAGACTGTTCCCATGTCTCACAGGCCACGCCAAACCCAGAGTTAAACCCTGGAGCTCAAAGCGGTTCAAGGCCCTAAGCTTGTCGATTTCAGGCAGTCAAGGAAGCCTTTACCCAGAACAGCATCTCGTCTGGGTCCTCTCGGGGGGCGTGTGGGTTAGATAGATAGTTAGAAACGTTGTTAGCTGCTAAGTCGAGCTGAGCTGTTCAACTGCCCAAGGCAAGCAAGGCCCTGTTCCAAAGGAAAACAAGGCCAATCGAACGGCTTCGGTCACAAAGACCCTTCAACTGGCTGTTCGCGATCTTAGTCTTGCCTTAGTTCCCAGACCCAAGGGCCCGAAGACCCAAAGGGCGGGGAGATATCTTGCTTTAGTATTAAGAAAGAAAGACAGACAGACAGACAAAGAGACAGACAGAAAGGAAGAGAGGTCATGATCTTGTTTCAACTAGACAAGTCTCATACAGAGCTTGCATAGCCTCTTGTCTAATATATATCCCTCCCACCCTCTGCTCTTCTGTCCGTCTCTGTTCCTCTGAATAACCAAAGTCGGACCTCCCCGCAGATCAAGGAATTGGCTACGAAACTCAAACAAGAGTTTGTGTTGTCATTCATTCATTCATTCATTTACTTAATTACTTACTCACTTACTCACTTCCTCACTCACCGGACTCTTCGGAGAAGGCCGCTTGGTTCGCTTCGCTTGTCGATAGCCACCCCGCCAAAGCCAATCCACCATCGCATCACCTCAGATCTTGTGATCGTTGATCATAGAGGCCAAGAACAAGAAATATTCTTATTCTTAATCAGAAGCGAATGTTGCAGAGAATGAGAGATTGGGCTGTCTTGACCTCTTGACTGCTAGTACAAATAGTTGATACATCTTTCCCCCAGACACTCAATCTCTTCTTGCCTTGTTCTCTTCTTCTTCTTCTTCTTCTTCCTCTTCCTCTTCCTCTCCTTCTCCTTCTTCTACTACCACTCACCATCGTCACCACTTACAACAACCGCCAGAATGATGCGAGGAGAGATCCCTTCACGGCATCACAGGGCCCTCGGCCAGCGAAGACTCGCAAAGAACCCAAATCTTCAACGAAAGCTGGAACAGATGGCTCTCCCACTTGCACCTCTTGTCCAGCTCACCACAGGCGCTGTCCATCCTTCTTTTCCCACCACGGTCCTCAACTTTTGGCTCCTCACCGATGAGCAGCTGGAGTCTCTTGCACATTTCTACCACCAGAGGACGCCATCGCCTTGGACAAATCAGTACCCCTGCCCAGTCACTTGGAGATCTGATCTGCCTCTCGAGGAGAAGCGGCGCAAGATGGGCAAGTTTATCGGTCTCCGGGGTTGTGAATCTCCCATCCTTCTCAAAACGGAGGAGGAGATCCTAGCAGAGGCACGAAAGGCGAGACTTGCAGCTGAAGAGGATCTTTGGAGGCGAAAGCACTTTTCCTGATGCGTCAAGCAATCCGAGACATACGGTGTTATTGTGATTAATAATGGAGGACAGTCTGCTTTCAATCTCTGGGAGGAGGAAGGGGGGTTATTGGATTTACAGGTTCAGGAGTTTTGCATATCCTTTCTGCGTCCTTTCTGCATGTTCTCTGCATTCTTGTTACTGCATCTTGGGTCGGTCGCATTGCTAGACATGGCCACTAGCCAGCGTGCATCACTGCATTTTCAAGGGAGTAAGGCGAGGTGAAAGAGCCTATACATAAATATCAATAGAGAAGAAGCCCATGCTACTATTTTTTTCAAACCCAGAAAAAAGTCAACCTCAACGCCGCCGGTGTGTATTTCTCTCCCCTCTTCCCATGCACACCAAGAGTGTACGCCTTGCAACAAAGTGACATGTGGTATACTACAACCAAAAATCTGAAGAGGTAGGTCCGGAACCATGTATATATACCTATAAAGACACCCCAATCCCGTATTCTTGCAACCCACTCAAGACATCCTGAACTGTTTATTTCTTGCCCTTCTTCTTTGAAGGCGTGTCGACCATGACAGCATCCTCCTCGCTAGCAGTCTTGGCAGAAGAGCTCTGCTCAGAGCCGTCGAGCTCCTTCATGAACTCTGACTGGATCTGGCCTCGGCGCTTCTCCCACCACTGCTTCTCTGACTCGGCTTGGGCGAGGATCTCTTCGATCGAGCTGCGCATGGTAGCATTGGCCGTCATTTCGTGGGCGGATTGGAAGATGGACTGTCCCCAGTTTGGCGCGAGAGCGTTGGCCTATAATTGTCAATCATGTCTTCGTCTCTTGCAGTCGCACTACGCCGGCTGTCATACCTCTGTGACGACATCTCTGAGCTCCTCCTCCATCTCCTTCTCGGCGCGCTGGAATCGCTGCCACAGATCATCACCCACACTGCCTCGTTGCAGCAGAGAACCGCATGCTTGCTTCGCAGACTTGATCTGGATCAGGCGACGGATATCTTCGACGGCGCGACGCAAAAGGGCAGCTCGTAGGACGCTTTCGGGGATCTTGGGGCCCTTTTCGGAGCCGTCCTCGAGGTGTAGCAGGGACAGGTAGACGTTGCGCTGGAGGTGAGGGCCGAACCACGGAGCCAAGTTGGCGCTCTCGGCTTTGGCATGTTAGCATATGTCTTGGGTTGAGAACTGTTTCTGTGGCATAGTTACCAGCTTTTCTTTTTCGGTAGATTGTCGAGAATGTCATGAGTGCGCTGCCGAGGACGAGAACATAGGCAAAGGGGAGGGCAAGGCCCTTCCAGTCAATGTTGAACATGATGAACGGTGAAAGCTGCAAAGGCAAAATACGAGATCGTCCGTACTGTAATTAAAAAGAAAACGAATGTAGAGAAAGGAGTCGAGCCGGCCGTGACTTGGGTTTTTGGTTTGTATGAGTCGAGTCCCACGTACAGACACGAATGCAATACTACTAAGGTACTGAGGCAAGGTATGAGGGAACTGTTCAATTGGTGGTGGTGTGGCGCAGATCCAACTTTAGGCCAGATTACGCTTCGGCTTCTATCAAGTGGCTCCCAGAATTGTGGCTGGTGCATATACATACATATGCTGCCAGGCGGACGGGATGGGCCCTGGATTTGACTGCCGTGCGACGTCACTCGAGCATTAGATAAGCAATCGCAGGCACCGCCAGATGACGCTGTGCTCGAGTTAAGGTAGCAGAGGTACATGGTTTCCCGTGAGCCACCTTAGGTAAGATACGTACCGAGTCTAGAGCTACCTTACCTACCACCGCTCAACTTCACTTTCTTCATGCTGTTGATTCATTGCGTTTCAACTCCAACTTCTAGACTCTTCTTTTTCGTTCCCACTCATCTCCCAGCTGTTCTCTTTCTGTAGATCCTCTCCTTCTCTGCAAACCGAGAATATCCAACCTTCAAAAGGCACCAAAGAGAACACCAAAGACCCCACCACAAACCATCATAGCGACAGCCCTCTAGATATCTTTCACCATGTTGCTGCGACTCCGCGGCCCCGACGGCATGGCCCGTCTGAATGTCGAGCCCACAACTACATTTGGGGATCTGGGAAAGCTGGTCTGTTGTCTCGGAGCCCTCACCGAGCTGTCTGTGCTGACTCTAGCCCTTCCAGCTGCTCGATCAACTACCCAAGACCGTTGATCCCAAAACCATAGCTCTATCGAACGCCCCGAACGGAGGAGACTCAAAGCGCCTAGGGGACATCATCAACTTCAAAGTTGGTCAGATTGGCCTCAAGTTAGTCGCCCTCAGGACCTCCCACGAATCAGCCAAACTAACCTCATAGGCACGGCGATCTCATCTTTCTCACCTACCAACATGCCGACGCTGCCAACGGTGACGCGCCCGAAATCTCTAACACATCTGCCAGGCTTAACGGGAAACCCGTCCTACCGACCGAAGACCTCCCCATCAACCCCAAACCCGAAAGAATCGCCAGGCCGTGGGAAGTAATCCGCCAATCCGCCTTGGACGACCGATTAGACCGACAGGATGGCAAGATCCCCCGAGGTATCGATCGCATGTGTCGCCATGGTCCCAAGGGCATGTGTGACTACTGCCAACCCCTCGATCCTTTCAACCCCGGATATCTCGCGGAGAAAAAGATCAAATACCTGTCCTTCCACTCGTACCTACGAAAGATCAATGCTGCGACCAACAAGCCCGAGCTTGGCGCTTCATACATTCCTCCCCTGGTTGAGCCCTACCATCGAGTCAGGCATGAGTGCCCTTCTGGTCACCCCCCTTGGCCTGAGGGTATCTGTACCAAGTGCCAGCCCAGTGCCATTACTCTCCAGCCTCAACAATTCCGAATGGTCGATCATGTCGAGTTCTCCTCGCCTGCTATTATCGACACCTTTATTGACACCTGGCGAAAGACCGGGTCGCAACGCCTAGGTTATCTCTACGGAAAATACACCGAGTACACTGAAGTCCCGCTTGGTGTCAAGGCTATCGTGGAAGCCATCTATGAACCTCCTCAGGTTGATGAGCTCGATGGTATCACAATGAACGTCTGGGAGTCGCAAAAGGAGGTAGACAGGGTCGCCAAGCAGTGCGGTCTAGAGCCCGTGGGAGTAATCTGGACTGACCTGCTGGATGCTGGCAACGGCGATGGCACAGTGGTTTGCAAACGTCACGCCGACTCCTACTTCTTGTCCTCCTTGGAGATCTGCTTCTCTTCAAGGTTGCAAGCTCAGTACCCCAAACCCTCCAAGTGGAGTGACACCGGCAGCTTTGGTTCAAATTTTGTCACATGTATCATCACCGGTAATGAGCAGGGCGAGATTTCCATCTCCTCCTACCAGATGTCCAACGAGTCTGTGGAAATGGTTCGTGCTGACATTGTTGAGCCGTCAGCTGATCCCAACGTCATGCTTGTACGCGATGAGGAGGAAGACGACGGATCTGTCAGTCGCACAAGATATATCCCTGAAGTTTTCTACCGCAGGGTCAATGAATACGGCGCCAACGTCCAGGAGAACGCCAAACCATCGTTCCCCGTCGAGTATCTGTTTGTCACACTGACCCACGGTTTCCCCGCGGACCCTAAGCCTATGTTCACTCAGCAAGGCTTCCCTATCGAGAACAGAGAATACGTCGGAGAGAGCCAAGAGCATTCCGCTCTGTCCAAGTTTGTCAAGTTGTCGCCTAGCCAAAAGCCCACAGGCCAGGAGGTCTCTAACTTTCACCTTCTCTGCTTCATTCAGCAGATGGGCGTCCTCTCCAAGGTGCGCTTGTTTTTGACGTGTATGAAGAAAGCCACTGACAGGCTTCATAGGACGAAGAAGCCCTGCTCTGCCGTGTAGCGAGCCAGCACGATCTTGCCGACACATTCCAGCTCCGTTCTACCGAGGGTTGGCAGACCCTCCAGGCCATCCTTCAATCGACTGGTGAGAGAATCCCCAAGCGTCAGCGGGAGGAGGACGGTGCCCCCTCGCCCTCTTCCTCCTCATCCTCTTCCTTTCAAAATTCCATTCGCGACTCGGGAGAACCCCTTGCTAAGCGATTTGCTGCCTTCAGGCTAAACGAGCGCTGGACCAAGTCCGCCAATCCACCGCCGCCCTAGTCAATAAAGAGGTATTGGGTACAAGGGAAGAAAGTAGGGGAGGTCAGATAGAGATTTAGATGAGACGCGGAACCCAAAAAGTGGTGAGGCTGGATTCGGTTTTCTTGCTAGATATTTTCTTAACTTCCTTCACGTGGAAGATGATATTGCATGTATAGCTGAGGCGGCGTTAAGGACAGGTATCGGAGCATATAGGCAATGCTTTCATTTGGGCGGCTTCCTCAACTTGAATCAAAAGAATTGTGCATGTTTACATGTGCTTTGGTGATATGACTGAGTGATGGGCGCTTCAAGAGTACAAAGAGCGAAGTTGTGATCACAGTCAGGCTAAGAGCCCCTTTTCGGGCGAACTTTTCTTGGATAAATCGTTCCCAATCTTCATATCCAACGTAATTTATCCAAATCATGATGATCATGGTGTTAAATTGATTCCAGCCAAGGGTATTATAACTTGGGAAAATTATTATCATGGTTAAGACATGTTCAAGTTATGATGATTTCACTGTTGTGTCTAAAAACTTCACGCATACCACAGTCAGAAGATAGACATGTATAATTTGGAAGGACTTCACATTATCATCATAACCTATAGTAAGTAAAGGATATCATAAACTTGTCATATTTGTAGAATTGACTACTAATATTATCATAAAGGTTTATCACGCGGACACACACACACACACATTCGAATAACTCCCAAATCCACCCCTTTTCCAATCACAAAAACGCCAGTTATAATTTACAGGGGCTTTCCACCGATGAAGTCGGACCATCGGCGGACTTCAGCGGGGATGCCTTCAGGGCGGGGCAGCTTCTCGCTCATGCACTGAGCAAAGAGGATAGCGGTTTGAGGCTCCATGAACAGGGGGACGCCGAAATCGACGGCATTTCGGCGCATGACATAGTCGACGTCCAGCGTGGTCTTGCCTCGGGCCTGGGCCAGGTTGAAGCATCCGCGGATGTCGTACTTCTTGAAGACCTCACGGAGGGCACGCTTGTCCTCCTTGGGGAATTCAATAACCTCGACCTCGACCTTGGTCTTGGACTTGTTCTCGATGAACTCCTTGACCTCGGGGCTAGCGGCATACAGCTTGTAGCCAAGAGGGGCAACGTAGTCGACGACCTGGGTGAGCCATGGCTTGGAGACATTTCCGCCGAAGAGGAGACCCTCACCAGGCTCGGGCATGCGGAAGTTCATGGTGGACTGGAGAGAGGTCCAGTAGGCCTCAACGAGATCCTTACCGAAGCAAGCAATCTCACCGGTGGAAGCCATCTCAACACCGAGGAAAGGGTCGGCACCAGCGAGACGGGTCCAGGAGAACTGAGGCACCTTGGTAGCAACATAGTCGCGCTTCTCAGCCATAGGGTCAGACTTGGCAGGAACCTGCTTGCCGACGAGGGCCTTGGTAGCAATATCGATGAAGTTGGTTCCGAGGACCTTGCTGACAAAGGGGAAAGATCGAGAGGCACGAAGGTTGCACTCAATGACCTTGAGAAGGGGCTCGCCACCCTCAGGGTTCTCGGCCTTGATGATTTGCATGTTGAAGGGGCCGCTGATCTTCCAAGCTGCGGCGACCTTGACAGCAATCTCCTTGACACGCTCCATGGTGTTGCTATCGAGATTGGCAGGGGGGAGAACCAGAGTGGCGTCACCGGAGTGAACTCCGGCTTGCTCAACGTGCTCGGAAACAGCATGAATGATGAGCTCGCCGTTGGCAGAGACACCGTCAACATCGATCTCCTGGGCCCCCTCAATGAACTTGGTGATGACAACGGGGTGGTCAGGGGAGACATTGCTGGCAGCCTCCAGCTTGTCCTTGAGATCTTCCTGACTTGAGATCACAGTCATGGCAGCGCCGGACAGGACGTAACTAGGACGGACAAGGACGGGGTAGCCAACCTCATCGGCGAACTCCTCAGCAGCCTTGACGGAAGTAAGCTCTTTCCAGGCAGGCTGGTCGACACCGATGCTGTCAAGGATCTCAGAGAACTTCTGACGATCCTCGGCCTTGTCAATATCCCTGGGATCAGTTCCAAGGACATTAGCTCCACCAGTCTCCTGGAGCTTGAGGGCAATGTTCTGGGGAAGCTGGCCACCAACGGACACAACGACACCCTTCGAATTCTCAAGCTCGTAGATATCCATGACACGCTCGTAGCTCAACTCTTCGAAATACAGCTTATCAGCGGAGTCGAAGTCTGTGCTCATCGTCTCTGGGTTATACTATCGTCAAATATTAGTCTAAACCTTTTGAAATGATTATAAAAATTGTGAGGTCCGGTGCGAAGTGGGGCCGTTTTCGGCGAAGTGGGGCCGCGATCACGGCGACACCGCATAAGGAAGGAACGCTTGATTGGGACGGAATGGAGAATATAAACTTACGTTGATCATGATGGTCTTCTCACCCATCTGCTGGAGAGCTTGAGTGGCGCTAACAGCACACCAATCGAATTCGACAGAGCTACCAATTCGGTAAACACCGCTACCAAGGACAATAGTACCGTTGTCCTCGAAAGTGACATCGTGAGTAGAGCCGTTGTAGGTGGTGTAGAGGTAGTTGGTGTTGGCGGGGAACTCGGCGGCCAGGGTGTCGATCTTCTTGACCCAGGGTCGGATGCCGAAGCTGAGACGGTAGGCTCGGACCTCATCCTCAGTGCTCTTGACGGCCATGGCGATCTGTCGGTCAGAGAAGCCCATCTTCTTGGCCTTGAGGACCTGATCTTTCTTCAGGCTCTGTAGACCACCAGCCTGCTCAAGCTCACGGGTACAGTCGACGATGTTCTGCAGCTTGTGGAGGAACCACTTGTCAATCTTGGTCAGCTCGTGGACCTTGTCAACAGAGTAATTCTCGTGAAGCATGGCTTGTCCAACAGCGAGCCATCGGCGGTCGGTAGGGTTCTGGAGCTCAAAGTCGAGATCATCGAACTTATCACCTTGGAAGCCCACAAATCGGGGGTCAACCTGACGAATGGCCTTCTGGAAAGACTCCTCAAAGGTTCGGCCGATAGCCATGACCTCACCAACAGACTTCATAGCACTGCCGATGTCGCGCTTGACGTGCTGGAATTTGGAAAGATCCCATCGGGGAATCTTGGTGACGATGTAGTCGAGGGAAGGCTCGAAGTTGGCAGTGGTGGTCTTGGTGACGGCGTTGGGGAGCTCGGGAAGGGTGTGTCCGAGACCGATCTTTGCAGCAGTGTACGCAAGAGGATATCCGGTAGCCTTGGAGGCCAGGGCAGAGGATCGGGAAAGACGGGCGTTGACCTCAATGACACGGTAGTCGAGACCATCAGGCTGGAGAGCGTACTGGACGTTACACTCGCCAACAACACCAAGATGCCGGACGATCTTGATGGCGGCGCTTCGAAGCATGTGATACTCCTCGTCGCTCAGGGTCTGACTAGGCGCAACTACAATGGAGTCACCAGTGTGGATGCCAAGAGGATCGAAGTTCTCCATGTTGCACACAGTGATACAGTTGTTGTTGGCGTCACGAACGACCTCGTATTCGACCTCCTTCCAGCCCTTGAGCGACTTCTCGACGAGGATCTGGGGAGAGAGGGTAAGAGATCGAGCGGCCATGTTGCGGAGCTCCTCCTCGTTGTTGGCGAAACCGGAACCCAGACCACCTAGAGCATAGGCGGCACGGACAATAATGGGGTATCCGACGGTCTCGGCGGCCTCGAGAGCCTCCTCGACAGTGCCGACAGCAATCGACTTGGCAATGGGGATGTTAATCTCATCCAGAGCCCTGGCGAAGAGGTCACGATCCTCGCTCAGTTCCAGAGTTCGGACACTGGTGCCGAGGACCTTGACGCCATACTTTTCAAAGAGGCCGAGTCGCTGCATCTCAACACCAAGGTTGAGGGCAGTCTGGCCACCGAAGGACAGGAAGATGCCATCGGGCTTCTCCTTCTCGATGACATAGGAGACATACTCGGGGGTAACGGGGAGGTAGTAGACCTCGTCAGCCAGACTGTGGTTGGTCTGGATGGTAGCGATATTGGGGTTGATGAGGACAGAAGCAACGCCGGCTTCCTTGAGGGCCTTGAGAGCCTGAGCACCTATATTTCGAGTGTGTTAATTTTGAATGCTCAAAAATGAGTTTTGGTGGTGAATCGCAAGTTCATCGGTGAGATGTGCGTCACTGCGTATTGGGTATTGGGTATACTAACCTGAGTAGTCGAACTCTCCGGCCTGTCCAATGGCAAGACCACCACTTCCAATGACAAGAACCTTCTTGACATCAACGGTCTGGTGAGGCTTGATGACTCCACTGTCGAGGTAGGCCTTGGGGTTGGGTGCATCCTGAACAGCGGCGGAGCTGTAGGCGCGCATAACCTTGAGGGTGCCCAGGCGCTTCGAGTTGGCGGGGCGGGCAGATGCGATTGAGACTCGGCATGATGCGGATGCTGAGAGAGGGCTCACGGAGGAGAATGAGCGAGAGGGCAAAGCTCGCGGGACCCTGCGTCCATGACGGAGCAGGGCCGGAGCTCGACCAGCGAGAGTGGTTGCCAGGTTGAAGTTGAGAGGCATTGCAGCGGATAATTTGCACGTATCAATGCGTAAGTTGAACCGTCCCGCTGGCGAGGTTGCCCTTCTGTATCCCGAATCAAGCGTCTAGGATATGTCGATGTATGGGAAGGACACAAGAGACTGTGACTCTGTTGGAACTGATTTCTAGAGGAGGGCGGGGGGGGGATGGGGATAAGTAGGGCGGCCCGTTGTGAAGAAAAATGGCGGTACAGCTGATAAGATAAGAAGAACCTCCGAAAATTATTCTCTAGTTTTGGTGTGTGACTCTACAAAAAGTTGTGCTGGACTGGGCTGTGATGTGACGCAGCTCAACCCAGGCCCAGGAACAGCTAACAAAGTAGCTCCATAGCACTCCAATAGTGGATAGATACCTCCGATTGCTATCTACAGAGTAAATGGAACTGCCCCAACATTTCGGCCGTAATAGGTGAGAAAATTTACCAAGATCCGATAGAGATCGTCCCTCACTAGTGTCTTGTTCAAGGGTCTTTCGTGGAGAATCCAAGGCACGAGTTCTGTAACACCCAACTTTGATGCATTCTGTTGTCCCGTTTTGGCTCTGACAATCAGGGCTTCTCTTATTAATTTTTGTGTATCTTGTTGAGTATATCCCACGCTGACTGTACCTGCAGCCAGATACCGAACATCACCTCACAGCTTATCATCCTTGCTGAACTCCCCGGATCAAGCCCAGCTAAGCTTATGGGTCCGGTTACGGCGACCCTTCAAGTACATACATACATACTACAATACAGCTTGGACCCTGGCCAACAAGAAACAAACAAGGACACAGCAGAGCAGCGGTTGTAAGCAGCAAGGAAAATGATTCTACTGGTGCTCACAGACGTCTGGAAGAGGTGTCAAGTTCATTTTGACCCATTGAAAAAAAAGTAAAACAGCCAATGTGGTGTAGTATTCTCCCAGTCTAATGATGAAATGCCCCGACATCGCCGTCCACTTTGGTGGCATCGGCGGAGTTGGCGGAGATATGTACCGCCTGTGCCGCCGCTATTCTGCGCTTTGGCGGTGATAGGGCCGCTGGCGGAGTTTTTCTGAGTCATGCGAGGTTCCGAATAATGAGTCCGATATACCGTTGTGAATTATCAAATGTAAGTCCTCTTACCCTCAAATTTACAGAAATGGTACTATATTGGCTATATCAAGCTGCTGATTAGTACATTCTGGTTGTTGAACACGAGGACATCAGAGGTGCATTTAGGCTTCACGAGAGCTAGGTACGGGAACACGCTCCGAACCCACAGGAGATCCGCTCAGAATGCGATACTCCGATAGACACTGAACAACCCGATCGTCAAAAAAGGCATCGAGACGGGCAGAAAAATGCCGGAATCCCGAAACCGCCGCCGATAACGTTGTGATTGACCCAATACGACAAAACATATCATCCCATTGATTTCTATCATATCCAACTACTGGGTATCATGAGCTTACCCTATAGCATTTGCTAACATGCTATTGGCCAATGTAACCGCTTCCTCATGGTACCCTAAGGTAGGTATTCAGCAAGATTCAGCACCTACAAGAGTGAACCTTGACAACAGAAAATGATTCAATATTTAGAAAAGAACAAAGGCGACGGAATCTCCTAGACGACAATAGGGAGTATTACAACTACATAAGTATAAACTGAATTTTACTTGGGGCCACAGAGTAACCATAGTGTTCCTCGCAAAAGTTCGAATCTGCAAGTAGCGAGCTCAGTTGATCGAGTACGAAATCATCACCAAAATGGCAAAAGAGCGAGCAAATGATGACCCCATCGGCCATTCCGTTGAACTGCTGATCTCTCAGAAGCGCAATCCTCTATTCTGGGATACCAATTGGTTTTTGGCCTTTTCTCTCGTCCGACAACCTGGCCTAGTTGAGATACTGAGTTACGATGCATCGAAATTTTCCCTGTATGATCTATCACCCGTACTGAATAGAGAAGCTCCAAGTATCGACTGAGCAAGAAAGTACATACTGAAATTAGTCACGATAAGCGCAGTAGGGACAGACAATACATACACAGGGTGTGCTTGTACATCACCAATACCAACCAATCTCGACATAACCCAACCCCAAAGACTGTTCCAAATGTTTCCTGAGTAACGCCGACACAGTTTTAATGCATCCAATAGTGCAGACACTGGCAAACTTAGGCGTGCACCGAGAACATGAAACCAAGATCAGTATACCCAATGAGTGGACAAGATGGATCAGACAAACTTTTTGTGTCTATAATTTGGTTTCCGTGTCTACGGTTCGGAACCATACAAGCTTTGTTGACGTGATATAAGATGATGAAAGTCAGATTTATTTCAAGTCTTAGTCATACATAAGTAAAATGTGCTGCCTTGCTTTAGAAAACCCATTGTTTCTTATCTGGCCATGAACCATACGCAGCACATACAACACCCACGCGCTGACCAGAATGGAAATCAATATCTTCATAGTGCTGGCCTGGTACCTGGTCGGAGCTGTCTTCGCTTCACCGTTGGTGAAACGTAACAGAACTGAAGGACTGGGCGAAAAGCTCAAAGGCACCGACTTCTCTCGCCTTGAGCCCGTTGATCATTATACGGACGATCCTAGATACCCTCTTGAATCTGGTCCTTTTGCAGCTCAAGCGATCAGAAACAGCTCCTTTGTGGCTAGGCGCATCATACAAAAGAGACCAGAGACCGAAGAGAGCGAGCCAAAGTTGAACCAGACTCGCCAGTCTGGAAAAAAGACCGAACATGAGTATAAACCTCCAAAACCCGACAGCCACATATTCATCTCACTCGACAAGATGGAAGTTTCTGAGCATGAGAAGACTTTGGCCAAGACGCTTCTTAAAAACTTCAACAAAACCCTAGAGGAGACCGAGAAAGAAAACCCCACCGGTTATACTCGAATTATCGAAAACCCAGGGATGGTTCCATCCATGTGGCGTGACTCTATTAAGCCACACACTGGAGAAGACAAAGACGAGGACAAGGAAGACGAGGAATATGACAGCGACAGCGATAGTGACGACGAGGAAGATGCAAAGAAGAGGATTAAGAGAGTACCCAGAATGACCCAGAAGCGAGACGAAGAGAAGGGGGTGGAGGAGAAGCCATATCTATGGCCAGAGCACAACAGACCAAAGGTCTCCAAGGATGGAAAGTTTAGATATTTGTACTCCAGCGAGGGAAAGCAATATGCTGTTGCAACTCCGCAACATCTTGCCAACGAGGTCAGTGAAGACATACAATTATACAGCAACCATGTTTATATACGTGTACGATGCTCACATGAGAACCCCACAGACTAATCGCCATGAGAAGGCCCAGCAGGAGAGGGAGCAGAAGTTGGACATTATTCAACACGAGCTTCAGAAGGAAATGGACGCGAAGCTACAGAAGGAGCAGAGCAGATTGAAGCACGAGAACGAGATGAAGTTCAATGCTTCAAAGCCCGAAAAGGACGAACGAATTGCTCGACTCTAGTTGTTCTAGTCATCTAACTATGGGTTGGGAGTTAACACGGCGAACATACCCGTATTTTGTTGACATGGGAGCTTATTTGTGTTAATTTATTACATATTGTAAGGTAGTTCAGTTTCTCATCTTCTCAACAGAATACAGGACAGACTTTACCAAAGCAACCCGTCATGTCATTGACAAGCCCGAGCCCTTTCAAATGCACAGTGATGACCGTAACAAAGGAATTAGCTGAAAACAAAAAAGAACATATACGCAGACCAGGCCTCTCGCAGATTCACTCTAGAGCTTTTGCAATTACGCCCGAACAATGGAGATGTTCGTCTGACACTTGCCGACAAGATAAACCAGGGACAAGTATAATATAAGCCAGTGCCCCCATCGTCACAAGATAACCAACACAAGTAATACTTAACGCCTGATCCATAAATTAACTTGAAAACACCATCATTAACATGTGCCAGCAGATCTTCAGCTTCAAGTGTCATCACATGAGGTATATGCCAGTCCCTTGCCAAAAGATCAAGGCCCGACAAAAGCAGTTTCTTCGACCCATTCTGGACTGGCTGTGCCCAGTCAGGCCTTGCAAACGCAAGATAGAAGGCCAGCAACGCCCGGACCAGCCCTGCGATACTTGCTTGGCCAGCACGAGCATCTAAGATGGCGAACTCGGGCAGCTCAGGGTTGGAGACCGACCGACAACGTCCAAACCAACGACGCCTGTGTCCGCCCAGACACCGTGAAGCTGCTCAACCGAGCCTACAACGCAGTCGCGCAACGAATTGCCTGCGTAGGGTTTACCACGACCTAGAGTCACAAATCTTGGATGAGGCTGGGATCCCTAACAAGCTGCGACGTGCGCCCCCTCTCTCCTCGGAGCTTCCACAAGGCATAGATGGTGATCGAGGCAGTGAGGTTATTATGCCTATTATTCAACGGGGAGACGACCAAACTTGCAAGCGTCTAGATCATGTTCGAGAACATCAGGTCCATGTTCACCATCCTGTTGAACGACCCAAGTCGATAGAGATAAAAGTTTGTCATGTTGATGACGAAGATGAGCTCTAAATTAACAACATGCAGCAAACCTGCCTTTATTAGCAGACCATCACGGACCGAAATGGCCTTGAGAACGGCATCGTGGAGAAGATTAGATAGCAATATAACGTTTGTTCCTGGATGAATATACTGTGAATAATGCCCATTGATAAATGATACGAATATATTGACGAATTTACTACGTGCTTGATGTCAACTGTTATTTAATTGCAAACAAAACAACTCCATACACTCCATATGATGCTGAGGCTGTTACCTGGACCGATCCACTTCCTGACCTTCTCCTTGTATTTCACGTGCCGATTTCATGAGTCTCAGGACAACCTAACGGTCGTGTAAGCAAACGAATCTGCTCTCAAGAGCATCAAATGCGCGAGTAAACAAAAGGGGTGAGATCACCAATGCCACCTTCGTCTCCGCGGCGGCGAAAAGAATACTGTCGTATTCCGTGCAATGAGGCCCAATGACGATAGATTGGGTGCTCGCTACTGATCATCGATTGATAGTATCTGAAATGTAAGCGGGGACACGTCAGAACGTGGTTTGTCTCGATGTTGAAGCTGGTTCTACAACGCAGTCTCCGGAGCATTGGTCGTCTGACGAACCATCTTATATACTCAAGATCAGGGAAGTAGATTGGGCTGAGATGATTGCTCTATTGGGCCTTGCCGTTCTTTGACCTGAACTTCTCAATCTCGACCTGGACTTTCTTGTTGACACGAGATCGGAGCTCTGGTCGGTATCCAAACTTGAAGAGTATCTCAAGCCACACAAACATAGGGGCAAGGAAGACGGCCTGGATGAGGTTGTCGAGCAAAGCAGGGGCACGTCCTTCATATTTACCATGACCAATAAACTGGAAGATCCAGCAGACAACATGGATAGCCAGAGCACCCTGAAAAGTGGTGTCAGGATTTTGCTGATGGAGGTAGTTGCCAAGTGCTGCACCCCCCATACAGAAAAGAGCCAGGAGGAAGCCCGCAAAGGGCTCCAAGAGCAGATAGAGCAAGGAATAAAGACTGGCACCAATGACGCCAAGGTTGAGGTCCAGATAAGGGGGAGTGATCCAAGATGGTGTAGGAATGAGAGTGCCAGTGTATGTGGCCTGGAGAAATGTCAGATGGAGTTCTGGTAAGAAAGCAGATGCAGAGCAACGCAACATGCATAAGCCGGCGAGGACATGAAGAGACGAACCATACAGAACCCCGATAAGAGGATGAGGGGGACGCAAACCATGTGGATGGCGACATTAACCGAGTTATGGTGGTAAGCACCATACTACCGCATATTAGTATGATTTTCGACATATGATAAATAGCGTGTCGAAGTGTGACTTACAAAGGTGAGGTGCTGTTCAAGATCCAGAGACATGATGAGTAAGGGCCCCCTCAACAGAGACGACACGAGAGTTGTAGCAGACTGAGAGTATGAAAAGTGAGGAGAGAAAAAGCCTATAAAGCTGCTTTGAATCTGACAATTTGACGAGCGATGAACTCGGCTTGACGTGGTCCGTGAGCTGCTGGTCTATGCAGTTTGATGATTTCTGAGGCTACAGTTGTGGATCTGAGTCCAAAAAGAAGAGATCCCAGGGCGACCGAATGGAAGTTTGCGTGGGTAAGGTAAAGGATACTTTCTTGTGATGGATGAATGATGAAGATGATTACAACTTGTTTGGGTAGGTGTACCTGGTAGGTAGTACCTAGGTAGTTAAGGTGATTGTGTGTTACCTCGAGGTATCACAGTCCGAGACGGGATGACGGGATGACCTCCTTCCCAGGTTCGTTTTGACGCAGGAGGTGCGTCCGTCAGATCAGACGGGCTGCAAAGGCTTCAAAAGGCAGGATCCTGCAGTAATAAAGAATGAGTAGAAGAAAACAAGACGAGCCAAGAAATCGAAGGTTGGCAAAGGCCGAAGGCAACGCAGGTATGGTATGGTATGGCACGGCAGGCACAGTACGGTAAAAAGAGTGTGAGTGAGTGGCTTTCTACAGTGATGAGTTGTTCGTTTTCATGTGCTTTCCATTTTTGCGAGCCTGTGTCCACTGGCTGCTGCCACTTCTGATCCCCAACTCCCTCCCTAACCTTAGAAAGACCCGCTTGGATGCACCGCCGCAGCTGCTCGGGGTGGGTCCCAAGTCCGTACAGTAACTTCCATTTTGGAGCTCCTTTCTTTCACCCCTTGCCCCATGTCCACTATGCCTTCCAGCACGGCGTGTGCTTGTCTCCTTTTACTTGGGTGGTTGCGCCTTCCATCAAACACAAGCCAGTCAATGCCGGCAAGGAATATACGAAGTCCTATTGTATTGGTCGGAATCTCATCGCCCTTGTTTATTCCCCAGGTTTTAGAATTTTGGTGCCGATTAATATCTCAAGAGGAGGACGAAGGACAAGGTTCGGAGAGGCTTCCATTCGGTTCCCTCGAATCGTACCACATCCCATCCGGGTTTTATTCTGGAAGAGTCCGGTTGCGAGAGGTAGAAGCCGAGGCCGAAACCTCCACTCAAGACTTCTTGTATGCCTCTCAGTGATAATCATTCGGCCTGATGGGCCATGTTCTGCTGGAGTATCGCGTCTTTGGTAGATATTCTTCCTTTTAGGTGCCTACCTACTCCACCGGTCTGTATTGAAGCTTTCAGCAATGGAAACTCTCAGCCAGTTAAGTTGACACTAGGTGTTTTGTGAGCGTATGATAGGGGGGCCAGTGATTTTTGTTCGGAGTAGCATCTATTGACTTGTTACCTACACATGACTTAATAAACTTAAAATGTCTCCCTATACTCAAGTTTCGCATTCAGCACGTATCCGAAAATGATATACTCTAGAATCCCATGTCGTTGAGGTTGAGGTGTGATCAGGCAGCTATCGCTTAGACGCCACACCTGTGGCTGGAATGCTCACGAGCTCTGATTGGGCAGATCTCATAGGAACGCATGGGCCAGCTCAGCCTCGTCGATTTCATTGTCCAAACTTCCACCTCACTTGACATTCTTTCACCCAAGGAACAAACAACCTCCCTCTGCGCTCGCGTCAAGAAGGTCAGCAGTCATATTTTGACTTGACACGCCAGGGCCTTTCTCTTAATATATTTTCGCCTCTCGCCTCTCTTCAGCGAGCGATACGCAACTCCTCGGCGCGTTTCATTTCTAAGCCTACGCCAAGCTGTCACTACGTCTCGTTCCTTTTCGCACGCGCTTTCGCCCGGCGCCCTCCCTCGATTGATCGCAGAACCCTACGAAGCGGTAGTTATTAGCTTAATCTCTCGCTTGATCGAATACAAACCCATTTTCGTGCTCTAGTCGGACATCGGACATATTGCAATATCGCAACTTCCTTGCCAACCGAAACCGCCCACTCGCTTACCATCGATATCTTCGCTTCTCCCCGAAATCGCTTTTCACCATGTTTTTTCTTTATAATTTGGAGCGCAAGGTCACCTTGCACCCTTCTTTCATGGGTCGCAACATGCACGACCTCGTGACCGCGAAGCTCTTAAAGGACGTTGAAGGCACATGCGCTGGCAGCTACTTCATCATTTCCATCATGGACGCTTTCGAAATCTCTGAAGGACGAATCCTCCCCGGTCTTGGTATGGCTGAATTTACTGTCGGATATCGTGCCGTAGTATGGCGGCCATTCAAAGGCGAGACGGTAAGGCCTTCACTGCCGAGGATTAATGACCTAGGAGTCTGACTTCAGTCAGGTCGATGCAGTTGTGCACTCTATCAACCCACAAGGCTTCTTCGCTCACGCAGGGCCTCTGCAGCTGTTTGTTTCAGCCCATGTACGTCACCACATGGCTGTGATGCAATATTTTCTAACAGTTACGATAGCTGATTCCTAGTGATGTGAAATATGACCCCAATGCGACGCCACCTCAGTTCACAAACAACGAGGACACCTCCATTGAGCCCCAAACCCACGTTCGCGTCAAAATCATAGGAACTCGAACAGAAGTTGGAGAAATGTGGGCCATCGGTAGCATCAAGGAGGATTACTTGGGGTATGCTGACGACTGGTCATATATTTGGCTTTCTTTGCTAACGGTGATATCAGATGCCTCCAAGCTTCTTAAGTTGCGCGTGGTACTGGACGGAGTGGGAACCAAGAAAATCAAAGCCCCATTGAAGGATAGAAACAATTAGGCGACTCTACTACAGCAGCCAGTCCTTCAATTACTGGATGCAGCGGCAAAAGCGACTCAAACAAAAATCTATCAATCACCACATTAGGGAGGAGACAAATCCGCTGAATTGACGACAATGGAGCCTGCAGCAGGTGAGTCGGGCGCCGAACAGTGATTGTTCTGGGGCACAAACAATTATTGGTATAAAAGGTGGCCAAGATTACGTTGATCGCAAAATTGAACATAATGGATACAGTTTGCTATAAGGAAAATGAATTACTGTTTCTGTCAGATTTAGACAGCGAACAAATAGACAATGGCACGCAAGCTTGCAGTTTGCAGTTTGCAAACAAGACAATAAAAGCCAAAGATACCCGATAACGCTCCAAGTTATATGCGCCCTATGAGTGAAGCCACCCGCCCTACAATAATGAGTCTCTTCGGCAGCCAATTGCAAGCTGTACAGACAGGCGTCGGCTTCCTGAAGCAGCTTGATATCCCCCACGAGACCCCGCAATCGAGAGCTCCCCGCTGAGGAGCTGGGGACGGGGAACGGGGAACGGGGCCCTCCGGGGAAATGTCTGATGTTTGTCGTATAAATTGGGTTCTCGGAGGATACTTCCCCGAGCAAGTTGGCTTTCTGCACTATCTATGACCATTATACGAGGTAAAAACAAGACAATATGAGTAGAGTATGGACATCAGCAACCCTCCGGTTACGACCGGCCTTGACACCCAACACGTTACAACCACGGGTGGCAACCAGAACGATGTCTAGGTTGTCTGGCATGCAGGCATCTAATAGATTACGGACAGCTCTTCTGGAGGGGAAAAAGGCGTTTGGCGCCTGGCAGATGCTTCCCGGCGCAAACGTGTCGCGAGTATTAGCAAGGTCAGGAGTTGATTGGGTCTTGGTAGACTGCGAGCATGGGAACTTGGATGGTAAGTTGAGCCTATACTGAAATGATTGGATATAGGCCTGACATGTCAAGATGGTGCAATGCACGATGCCGTCCCTGCAATTGCGGCTTTAGGGGTTTCGCCCATTGTGAGATTGCCCGATATGCAAGGATGGATGGTAAAGCGTGAGGCTGCAGAGATATCCATGCTTGGGAATTCGGTGTTGACATTTCTCAGGTGCACTCGACAGTGGAGCTCACGGCGTAAGTTGCCATCTCTCTGAAGCCGTGCCATGTTGCTGATTAGACAAAGATTGTTGTGCCTTTGCTGAGGACGCCTGAAGAAGCGAGACAACTCGTGCAATCTGCCAAGTTTCCGCCCCTAGGCCGTCGAGGTTTCGGGTCGCCAATCGCTCCAGAGCGATTCCACCCTGAGCCGAGCTTCTCAGAGTATCTCCAGCAAGCCAATGATTCTCTCTTGACCATTGTTCAGATTGAGACCAAGGAGGCACTTGAGTCTATCGACGAGATTGCTGCCGTTGATGGCATCGACGTGTTATTCATTGGACCGTTCGATCTTGGTTTGTCTCCCAAAAATTACAAAGTTGAACCAAAGGAAATGTATTGATTCGCAACAGGAAACGCGCTCGGTCACCCCATTATCGAAGGAGTCATGGCTACGGAACTGAAAGACGCCATTGCCAAGATCCTGGCTGCGGGTCAGAGAGCAGGCAAGAAGACAGGCGTATACTGCACAGGGGGTGAACAGGCAAAGATATACGCTGATCAGGGGTTTGACATGATGAATGTAGTAACTGATTATACGTCCTTGGGCCTGGTAGCCAAAGAGCAGCTCAGCTTCGCTGATGGAAGCTTGGCACCAACCAGAGGAAAGGGATATTGATGTGTGCCGCAAGGAGAGGTTAGTTTTTCTCTGCTTTGTCCATTTGAGCCTCGACTTGCTCGGCAGTGAATCTGTGCATCAATTTGATTGCTTTACCAACTTTGGTTGGCTCTTCTTCAGGCGCGGAGGCTTTACTGATGTGAATCTGCATTATATGGATGTTAACAAGAATTTCAGTGCCTTTAGGTAAGTATTTCTGCTGACCACCGGGACATCAAAATCGTATATGTCTCTCCATTGCTTGGACTCAGGCTTTGGGAGATCGACATTAACCTCTGTATAGTCAAAGGGTCTCTTATCCCAAACATCTGACAATACATGCTTAGCTTGGGTGCAGAGACCACAAGTTTCCCGGGTGAAGAACGTAATTCTCGTTGAAAAGAGAAGACGACGAGTAGCAAACATGGTGAAGTGAATAGAGCAGCCCCGTGGAAGTGTCTCAATGGCTCGGTATAAAAATCCAATGTCGTCTTGAAAATGGCCTGAGATTAGACGAGACGCATGCAACCCGTCGCGTCTGATTGCACAAGCAAATCAGATGCGACCCCGCATCGAAACAGGAAAGCGGTGAGAATATAGCTGTGTTCCAGCATCGTCATCGCCTCCACGACAGAGCTTGAATTCTAGAAGCTCCCACCCCACCAAAGTCCGAGTCAAATACTCCTTTCTCTTCCTTCTAGACAATCACTAAACTGTCAATTCTTCCTGTGGAGTATAGACGTTGTACTACTCGCGAAATGTCTCAAAAATGTGTCCATCAAGGTTGCGGGAAAGAGTTTACCGATCCAGATGAGAAGTGCGAGTACCACCCTGGTCCGCCCATTTTCCACGAGGGGCAGAAAGGTAGGTTGATCTGGCAGAGCAGATACTGTTTTGACCTGCCATTGTGCATTGCATCGCATAGCATACTAACTAACCGTGAAAAGGATGGAAGTGCTGCAAGGCTCGTGTCTTGACATTTGACGAGTTTATGGATATTCCTCCTTGTACGACGGGCACACACTCGACCACCGACAAGCCGCCTCAGCTTGAGGAGAAACCCCAGCAGGATGACGCTGCCCTCGCTCAGAAGATCGATGCTCTAAACGCCGCCACTCCGTCTCGCGCACCGATTCCAATTGCCCAGCACGCTCCTACGCCACCGCCGCCTGCTCCTGAGTCGGAAGATGATGACCCCAGTCTTGAGATTGCGGACGGTGTTGGCTGTAAGAGAAGGGCATGCGGCGCAACGTACAAGAAGGGCAGCTCGAGGGATGACGAGGAGTGTGTTCACCATCCAGGAGTACCAATCTTCCACGAGGGGAGCAAGGGATACTCCTGTTGCAAGAGGCGAGTGTTGGAGTTTGATCAATTTATGAAGATTGAGGGGTGCAAGACGAAGAACAGACACTTGTTTGTCGGCAGTGGTAAGAAGGATGGCCCCAATAGTGAGGAGGTCGTCTCCAACGTCAGGTGAGTTCACGAAACAAAACCGCGGCCAAATTCTATGATTGTTCGTGCTAATAGTTATAGGCATGATTTTTACCAGACCCCAGTCAATGTTATTGCATCCTTCTTCCTGAAGAAGATCGACAAGAGCACAGCCAAGATCGAGTTGCAGCTGAAGCAACTGAACCTGGACCTTACTACAACCGACTCGCCCCCCAAGCGCTATACAGCCCGAGTCCCTCTCTATGCGTCGATCGACCCAGAGAAGTCATCGTACAGAGTGCTCGGCACGAAGCTAGAATTTGTCCTAGCCAAATCTGACGGCACCTCATGGCCAGTGTTGCGAGGGGACGAGGCCCTGACAGGTGAGATCCTTCAGGTCGGCCGAGCTGGAAGGGCTTGATGGGAGACGTAAGTTATGAGAAGACATGAGAATGAGCATAATAGGGAGTTTATGTGATCGATATGGCGTTGATGAGAATTTAGACGAGACTAGACGTCATGTCTCGCAAGGGCGTAGAGAATTAAGAATGAACTAGCGATAGCGAGGTAGAGACGGAATACGGAGCATCGGCATGAACTGAGATTGGCATCCATAACAAAAAACTTGTCACACAAGTGCTCTTTTTGAGTCGATCCGAGATGATCTTTTCCTTTTCCACATGGTTACCAGCTTCGCTCGAATCTTTGTCCTTTTTGCGTCGACTTCGTGAAGGGCCCGCCACATGAGTTTGCAAACAACACAACTGAGCAAGTGACCCAACAGTTGCTTGAAGTGACTGTTCCGTTACTTGCGTTTAATACCGAGAAATCCTCCAGAAACCCTGCATTGTGGTGTTTCATCGTGGGTCAGGAATGATAGGCGGTGGAACCAATATGGATGATAATGCTGACTAGTTTGCTTTAGATTTGCCAGAACCAACAACCACGTCTACCCTTTGTAACTTTAAAATATGTCCTGATTCCTAGTATTGCGGCCCTTTTTGGGTTTCATCCCTATTCTTTTCCTTCGATAAACGCTTGTTTGTTGTGGTGAACAACCATGTGGTATTCATTACTGGCTTGTCTTGTTAGTGCGGCTTATGCCTCGACACTACAACTACGAGAGGGTGCTGCACAAATAGCTTGGAATGTTTCGGGGTTTACGGCTTTCGATGTCTTGAATTACACCCAAGTTGAATCTGACGATGCCTGGAAAGTGGAAGTTCCTCTTCGTATACTCTGTGTCGGGGACTCTATAACAGAGGGTTGGGGAAGTGATGCAGACGGCGGCGATGGGAATGGCTACAGGCTTTCTCTCGCGAAACATCTGTCACGTAAGTTGCTTCTTGACCATTCAGAATAATATTAATTGACGGGTATACTGACATATACTGACACTGACTCAAGGAGAAAAAGTTGTCTTTGCGGGTACAAGACGCAAAGGCTCTATGGAGGACAGTTATTATGTGAGACCAGCCATTGAACGTGACGATACCACGCTTATACGGATTTAGGCGGCCTGGTCTGGCAAGACAATTCAGTATATAAACGATCACATCACAGAGTCGTTGGAACAAAAACCAAATCTTGTCCTCCTTCACGCTGGAACGAATGACATGGATTTACGACCGTCGATCTCCAAAGAAGGAAACGACCCCAAAGATGCTGCCACTCGTCTCGGCGACCTCATTGACAAGATTGTTAGATACTGCCCGGATGCAGCAATCCTCGTCGCGATACCTTTGGCATCCTGTGACACTGAGAAACCCAGAATGCCTATTTACAGAGCCCTGATCCCTGGGCTTGTACGACAGCGACGAAAGGATGGTGATCATGTTATTGCCGTGGATTTCAGCACATTTGATCTGGGCGAGTTGAGAGACTGCTTGCACCCTACAAATGAAGGCTACAGCATCATGGGGGACTATTGGTATGACTTCATAACACAGGTGCCAAAGGGATGGATCAAGGAGCCTGTTGGTGATGACCCAAAGCGAGAAGAGAATGGGGTTGGAAGACGAGTCCTGCCAGACAAGATGTCTATTTTGGGTATTGGTTTGTACTGGGGTGTGTACCGTATCTGTTGGGTATAGAAATTTGGTTTCCGTACAAACTTGGGATTTTAGACGTAGACGGTATTGATAGAGTTTGCTAAATGGCTGCAAACAGTTTGTGTTCAACAATCAAGAGTTGGATCATTGAGGTTGACGAAGCTGAGGTGAGAGCTTGCTTGACTTGCAACAAGTCAAAACAGGTGAATGAACAGATTGAGAATAATCAGTATCACAATTGCGTCAGAAGCCATCAAAGAGCACATTCTTCGAGCACGTTCCTGCTGAATCCAATACTTAATTGCAAGTTGAAAAAGGCCGGTTCCGTACAAAAATGGGCTGAAAAAAGAAAGATCCCACCCAACCTGGCGAACGCAAGTGCAGGGTACTTGATAAGACAGGATTCTTGACCCGTGGCCGTGGAAATGAGAGGCATTGGATGATCGATAAGTTGAACGATCCCGTTCTCCCCCCACATTAAATCAGCAAATTCCGATACGTAAACAGGAAACACAAGACGGCTTCTGACTGGCCGCTCCCGATTTAACCATCAGCACACCCTGCTGTCGCTCATCGCACATGCTTGGCGCCCAGATCTGAAATGCACTGTATCAACCCGCATTTAGCGACCTTTCACCACAGTTTAGTTGTTTTTGGCGGTCTTCTAGGCGTCCTTGGCGAACCTCTTGGGGGGGGTTGGTTGTGCGGACGGGCTGATAAGAGAAGTCCATTTGAGTGTTAGTGATATCGGACGGCAGTCGATAGATAACAGCCCTGCTGTGGTTTTTCTCATGATGCCATGTACCTTAGGTACTGTATCTCTTATCAAAGACGTCTCAGGCACACAAACAAGCTTAACCTGATGGCTGTGCTCCCCGTCCGGCCGATGACGGGATGGGTGCTATAAGTTGTCGCCATGCCCTGGAGCCACGCTGACGCCTGAACGGCTGTCTTTTATGTCAGACTCGACGTTATAAACTTAACTCTACTCTACTCTACTGTCGACTCAAAGTCTCTCTGAACGCGTCATACACTCCTGCCGTCTTATCAGTAACCATGTCCGCCGAAGTCTCTCACGGTCGCGGGGGTGCAGGCAACTTCAAGCCTGACGATACCGAGTATGTCGACGGCGAGGTTGTTCGAACCGGCGTTGTTGGAAGCCACGGTGATGGCGCGTACAGTTCTGGCCGTGGAGGTAAGTCATCACTAGCATTGTACCATTTGTGTAATGTTCTGTTTTTGCATTTGCACAATACATCATCACCTGTCACGGAACTCAGACTAGTCGCTAATACAACTTCATCAGGTGCTGGCAACATCGCTGACATAGGCACACCCACCACCGAGCGCAAGGATGTGGACATCATTCCCGAGACTGCTGTCCGACCAAGCCAAGACGGCCGAGACTACCATACCGGTCGTGGAGGCGCTGGCAACGCGCAGACCGCAGGTTCTGAGAAGGAGTCCGAGGAGCACGAGAAGCCTGCGGTCAAGACTCCTGTTGGTCTTGCTGACAAGCTCAAGTCCAAGATCTTTGGCCACAAGAAGTAGGCTCCTATTCTGTTGTTCCGTGACAAGTCGCGAATTGCGACTTGATCTTGAGGAGGCGGGGATTATCGTTCTCAAGCTGCGTTATCGTTGATATTGGTTATTGTGGAAATACCCCTGATGCCATACTGTTGTTTTGAATAATTTGAATTCTATCGTGTCGCTTGCTTTATAGCGCAATGCGCGAACATGTGGGATGATACCTGACAGCCCAGTGTAGATAGGTGGTTGGTGACATTGACAAATGCGACGCACCCTAGCTTCTGATATTTCTGTGTCCGACCCTGCATTCCTTGCTCCAAATAAAGATCTGACAGCGCTGGCAATTGTTTTATTGGAGATTGTGTTAACTCAGTGAGAAGTAAGGTAAGCAGAAAAGAACATGCCAAAACGTACCACATAACTAGCGTACCTACCTATAGTAGTAGTATGCATGTGCCAAAACCTCCTCCAAGTTGGGCTGCCATGACGTTATTCCACTTATCAAGGATCGTCCTCGATAGTTTTCCATACCCCATGCTCCACTTCCCCTCAATTCTGGCTTTTCTTAATGGGCATTTTGGGACATCAGATGAGTCGACAAGCTCAGAGCTCCCCTCGGACAGCCGAGTGCCTGTGTCTCCGCTAAAAGAGCAAAACGAGCTGAAAAGAGAAACATGATATTTCAGGATTGGCTTTGACCTGTGGGCTCTGAAGTCCCAACCCCGAAGCTAAACCAATTTGGCATCGAACAAACCCATCTCTGATCTAAGGAAAACTGGAAGTCTACAAGCACCTTGTTAGTGCTAGAATGACCCTTAAAAGACCCTGATAAGAGCCCGAATAGCTCACGGATCGTCACAGATAGCCTTGATTAAGCCGGCTTACAGCGATCCTGCCCAAGAGAGACCCAAACATGGCGAATAGGCATCGTGATACCCCGTCGTGATTATGATCTCGTTAGTCCTCTTTCGCATGGGGAGGGGGCGCATAAGTTGATGGGATGGACAAGATGTGACGGCAATGGCCGCGGCCCTTGGCTTCTGGGTGCCAGCCATGTTTAAGAACACAACGATGCGCATTTCACTCAGCGACTGTGAGTCTTCTCTCGTTACCCTGTTCTCTTCTCATCGCTGTGTGATCGATCAACAAACCGTAACTGTCTGTGTCCACGTATCCATTGTCTTTCAACGCTTGCTGGCAGAGTACATGGCGCACTTCACGACTTGTCGAGAGCAGAAGCCTCTCTTTACTAACCCAAAACCGTCTTCAATCTCGTGAGGAAAACTGTCTGGTGTTGAATGCGCCTCGGGGGGACTCAAGCTCACCAGTCCCGGCCTTGTGACGACAATCACGTGCACCCAGTGAGATCACGAGTGCGACCTCATCATGGCGCCAAACCTTCAACCTCTTCCTCAGCGTCCACGTCTCCAAGACCATAGACCGTGGTCCGGACTCTCTAACATTTCGAAACGATCCTTTAGATCTTGCGCAACTTCTGCTTTCGAGGCCGACGACGAGCGATCCTCTAGCGACGGCGATATGAGCCCTCGCAATAGCCAAGCGGACGTGCGACGGCCAACCGTACCGCGTCACTCTGGCCATGATGCTCGCCCGACGAGTCGGAAGGAGCTTCTAGGGTGGTACGCCTATGCATTTGCGGCTGAGACGTACGTGATTTGTGGAATTGGTATGTTATTGATAGTGAAGCTATATCTCCAGGCTGTCTACACGGAGATCGCCAAGACCCATTGCTAATACGCATGCTCCAGCTTCCTTTATTCCTATCCTTCTAGAAACTCTTGCCAGGGAGAACGGTGTGCTCCTCTCTGACCGAGAAACACCATGCGGGTCTAGCGACAGTAAGAAAGAGGGGGATGGACAATGCATTGTCTGGGTGTTTGGAGTAGAGATCAACACTGCAAGCTTTGCCATGTACACATTTTCAGTGAGCGTCTTGATTCAAGCGCTGCTCGTTGTCAGCATCAGTTGCGCTGCTGATCATGGAAACTACCGCAAGAAGCTTCTTCTCAGCTTCGCCTGGATTGGGAGCTTCGCCGTCATGTCCTACATCTTCATTACAAAAGACAACTACATTCTCGGCGCCCTCTTGACCGTCATCTCCAACACTTCCTTTGGCGCGTCCTTTGTATTACTGAACTCTTTTCTTCCGCTACTTGTGCGATACCATCCCGATGTCATCGAGGTCAACGTTGCTGATACTCCAGATCTTGACAATTCTGAATTCGAGTCACGCCCTTTGGATGACTCAGTGGGCGAGCTCCAGGCGTCAAGAGTTTCAACAACCTCACCTCTGTTACAGCCTGAAGACGGCGAGAGGCTGAAACCAACAGCAAGCCATGCGGAAATCACTTCCAAGGAATTGCAACTGTCAACGCGGATCTCAGCCATCGGAATTGGCACCGGCTATATTGCCGCGCTCTTCCTGCAATGCGTCTGTATTGCTGTTCTCATCGCCATGCATAACACCACATGGGGCCAACGAGTCGTATTATTCATGGTCGGACTTTGGTGGACCATCTTCACTATTCCCGCCGCCATGCGGTTGCGGCCCCGCCCGGGGCCTCCGCTGGCTGATGATGGGCGCAAAGGCATCATGGCAGGACTTGCGTACATATTGTACGCATGGAAGAGCCTATTCAAAACCGTTCAACAGGCTAGACGCCTGCTGGACATTGTTTTGTTCCTTGCTGGATGGTTTCTCCTGTCTGATGCGATCGCAACCACGTCATCTACCGCGATTCTATTCGCCAAAACCCAACTCCACATGAAGCCGTGGGCGCTTGGTATGATAAATGTCATTTCAACTCTGGCAGGGGTATTCGGCGCCTTCGGATGGTCGTGGATCTCACGGCTCTTTAACCTCCAGGCCCATCAAACCATTCTTGTCTGCATTGCCTTGTTTGAGTTGATACCCCTTTACGGTTTGCTGGGTTACCTTCCCTTTGTTAAAGAATGGGGTGTATTTGGCCTCCAACAACCCTGGGAGATGTATCCACTGGCGGCTGCATATGGAGTTGTGCTCGGAGGTTTGAGTGGTTACTGCCGCTCTCTGTACGGCGAGCTTATTCCACCCGGATCCGAGGCAGCGTTCTACGCCTTGTACGCTATAACGGACAAGGGATCCAGCGTCTTTGGCCCGACGATCGTCGGTGCTATCATTGATAGAACTGGCACGATTCGCCCGGCTTTCTGGTTTTTGGCAGCATTGGTTGGTTTTCCTGCGCCATTGATCTGGTTCATCAACGTAGAGCGAGGTAGAAGAGAAGGCATGAAGCTCGCCGAGTCAATGGCAGTATCTCCTGTGGAGGAAGCAGACGATGATGAACATGAACATGAGCGTCGTGGAATGCTGGCAGACTATCAGAGAGAGCAGGAAGATGGTATTGTCGATGAACACGCAAGACCCTAGCTCACATAGCTGTGGATTCTTGGAAGGATAAGGTAGCATAGCGGCGGCGTTTACTTGGATGACTGGTGATATCATAATTTGGCTACGATTTATAATTGCTAGACAAGGACCTAAATTAAGCATTGCCAATACCTCAAGTTAATCAATATACCACAGTATTTTGCTTTTTGCTTAAGAGTTGGGGCGCTCTATATACATGTCTGTACGAGGTAAGGGAAGTCCCTAGCGATGAATAACGTGTGAGCTTTACACCTAGGTACCTACCTATTGGATCGGAGTTTCTAGAAGCAGACTTCCCTGCACGGATTTCCGGGGCCCAAGTTTACGCTCAATGTAACGCAAACGCGCCTGCATTTGCTCTCTCTCTATCCCCTCACTCTTCTTGTTGCTTTCCACCTTGGAACAAACAAGCTCCATTTAACAAAGAACCGCGACTCTTCAAAACTCTACACTTGCGCCTCACTCACCCGATCACTTAACCTTTATCAAAGCTATTATCGATCTTCATCACTAGACTAAGGTAGGTTCCGAAAACCCAGAGTGAATCGCGCCAAGACTCCTTCACCCTGCGCCTCTCATAAGCTACCTACGCTACTAAGCCAAGGCTTGTCCAGACGCGTTGCCTAACGCTGGGCGCTAGTCGCTCTTCCGTAGGCAGGACTGAACTCCGTCCATCAGCTTAGGTGGCCCAAGTGCCAGCTCGGTCACGTGACGCAAGTCTTTTGGGCTTTTGGCTCAGTTCTTAGTTCTTCCGCAGATTGCGACGTTGCTCTCCCAGACAAATCGAGTCTCTTTCGTTGCGCACAGGACATCATCGCAAGCCGCGGCTTGTTGCTCAAAGGCAGCTTGGGCTCGGCTCAGCACAGATCGCGATATCGAAAACCCAGTTAAATCAATTCTCTCTCCATTTCTATATAACCTTTTCTTCCATTTCCGCGTCACTTCTTCGCGCGCCTTGTCGTTCCTCTGCAAACCCCTCCTTCTCTCCACTCCCGACGCGGTCATACCCAACCGCATCAAACCGCCACAATGAGCAATCGCAAGAGATCGCGATCCGTCGGGGAGGAGAATCGCGCTGAGTGCCCTTTCACGATTACTTACGCGACTGGCCCTGCGGCTACTCAGGCGGATCGTCAAAAAAACAAGAAGCGGAAGCGCGACGGCCAAGATGACGACAAACGGGTCCAGATTCAAATCTCCCCTTTCTCCCCAACGGGCAATTTCAAAACGCACGAGAACATGGACTTGTACTACACTGTCGAGCCAGGAAAACGATGGCAAGATATGACGCGCTACAACAGCTTCGTCCGTAAGTATCCGATGAATTCTCGGCGCCGTCCGCTGTACGGGCTTATGGCTAACTCTTGGCAGTTAACAGTGTCAAGTATTATAGTGAAGGCTTTGTCAATGTTGCCAACGAGGTAACGATTGAACAACAAAAGGCTCAGGGTGACGGTAAGGGTATTTACAAGAAGAGCAATAATGACTGGGTCGCGCGTATCCTCGAGATCCGTGCTTCCGATGAGCACCACGTCTATGCACGTGTTTATTGGATGTACTGGCCGGACGAACTCCCGTATGGAACACTCGACGGTAAAAAGACCGTTCACGGCCGCCAGCCGTACCATGGCAACAATGAATTGATCGCTTCTAATCATAGTATGTTCTAGATTGCTGACCGATGTTATACTGCAATGCGACTAACCCTTTTTCTAGTGGACATTATCAATGTTGTCAGTGTTACAGGACCCGTCACCGTCAACCAATGGATTGAGTCAGATGACGAGGAGATCCAAGACGCGCTTTATTGGCGTCAAGCGTACGACTGCCGCAACATGCAACTCTCGGTATGTCTCTCTATATCTCATTTAGTTTCCGAAAGTACTGATGACCCTCTAGTCCGTTGAGCTCATGTGTAAATGTCAAACTCCTGCGAATCCTGACAAGACCCTGATTGGGTGCACGAGCCCGAGTTGCGGGAAGTGGATGCATCACGAATGTATGGCTCACGAAATCCTCCTGCAAGTCTACGAGCGACTAGGAACAGATAAGCCCCATCGAACCGAGGGATCGGCCGTTAAGGAGGAGAAGCCCGAGGAGGCGACGCGCCCTCTATCGCCCACTGACGCGGGGGAGAAAGAGACACAACCTACGATCGATGTCCGCTCCGGCGAAACGAGTGATAACGTCCACGTCAAAAAGACTGCTCGCGAAACACCTCGCGAAACAGAAACCCCTACACCTGGGCCAACGCCATCCCGATCTATCACCACCGCATCAGCTAAAGGATCGGCCAAGAAAGGTCGCAAGAAGAAGGCTGCAGACTCCAAGCCATACCTGGGACTTTTCGAAGCCACTCTCAAGATGCAAGACGGCCCCACAGCATGGGAGATTCGTGACCTGCGCGAGAACGTAACGGGTGGTGACAAGACCTGGACCGAGAAGGCTCATTGTCTGCTGTGCGGTTCCAGCATTGACTAAGCATTCGATATCATGACCACGTAGCTACCCCGAGTCTGCTCCGGTAAGCAGACTCCTTGAGTCTACAAGGTGCAACTCGACATTGCTTAGGGGGGCCATGCGGTGCTCTGACATGTTACTGATGACCTGCGGACAACATGGATGGCCCGACGCAGCTGTAAACTCGATACGGCTCATCGGGATGGTCGATGGTTAAGGTTTCTTTTGTGAAAATTTCGAGGTGACTTTCTTGGCGATTCGCCCACTGGTGGACATCACGGGCGCGGCGTTGGAGGCGAATATGGCTATGCTGTGAGATTGGAAGATGGGCTGGTTGGTCTTGGAACTTGCGCGCGGTGAGGAAGATGCGTTTGTTTTGCTATTATTTATCTATGATGTTAAATTAAATGCCACGCAAAAGAGCAGAGGTAGTATAGTCTACTGGGCCGGATGGGTCAGGGGAGAGAGCCTGGAAACCTGCCGACTGAGAGGGAAACTCGGGAAGTAGGTTGATTAGCTTATATTGGTACCGAGTTGGGTAGAGGTTAGGGAGCTAGTGTTTACCTGCCTCTGGGCTGGGTTATAGTGTTATTTTGCTTTGCTAGGCATCATCAAGGGTTTGTTGTTTCTTGAGAGTGTTTTTGTCTCCATTAATTGACTTTCTTTCCTTTAACTTGTGGCTTCACAGCCTTAATACCCGGTGAAGAGGAGTGTTAGTAGGGTTTTGAGTGATGAGGCATTATTGCTTGAACTGATAGAATCACTTCGGTATACGTCCAGTTTTCTATCGATTTTCAGCCTACCTTGATTGATCTTCTGCCATAAACCTACCTAACCTTTAATAAACTTGTAACGCCTGGGGAGTAACCACTAACCTATAGGATCTAATCTTCCAAGAGCTTAGGTACTGTACTAGGTTGTAGCTACCACTTACATGGGCTTGCAGTACGTACTCCACACGGAGCTCCATGACCCCGCTACTCCATAACGTCGCAGAGCTTCACCTCGACTTGAGGACCGCCTGAACCAATAGTGCCGTCTTCAGTACCTAAACAACAACAACAACAACCTTTCAATCTTACATAGTCTCTCAATTACCGCAGCCAAAGCCCTCGAAAGTCCATAATCATGGCTGTCGACCCCTTTGACTCCGCTCTGTAAGCACTTCAAACCTCCCGCACAATGACGTCCTCCCCGTATCGCTGACTGTTCAATTTACAGAGACCTTCTCCGCCGTCTCAACCCTAAGCAGACGACAGACCACCTCAACGCCATCATCTCCATCGCTCCAGATCTGACCGAAGACCTTCTGTCGTCTGTCGATCAGCCCTTGACCGTGCGCCGCTGTAAGCAGACTGGCCGAGACTACCTCCTCTGCGACTACAACCGCGATGGAGACAGCTACCGCTCCCCGTGGTCAAACCAATTCGACCCCCCTCTGGATGAAGCTGGATCAGGCGGTGTAGGTGCTGGTGGTAACGAAGGCGCTGGCGAGGGTGCGATTCCGAGCGAACGTGTTCGCAAGATGGAGGTCAAGGCGAACGAGGCCTTCGATGTCTATCGCGATTTATACTACGAAGGTGGTGTGAGCAGTGTTTACTTCTGGAACCTTGATGACGGATTCGCAGGGGTCGTGCTTCTCAAGAAGTGTATGAAGTTCCCCTGACAAGTGCCATACTGTGTTCGAACCGTCAACGCTGACTACATATCCCCTTTTAGCTTCCCCCCAAGGCGGCAATTCCGAAGGTGTATGGGACTCCATCCATGTCTTCGAGGCAATTGAGCGAGGAAGAAGCACACACTATAAGCTCACATCGACAGTGATCCTGACCCTATCTACTGCTGGTGGCAACCTAGGCGAGATGGACCTTAGTGGCAACATGACACGCCAGGTTGAGCAGGATCTCCCTGTTGACAACGATGATAGCCACATCGCTAATGTGGGACGATTGGTTGAGGATATGGAACTCAAGATGCGCAATCTCCTGCAGGAGGTATACTTTGGCAAAGCCAAGGACGTGGTGGGCGATCTCCGGAGCATTGGAAGCTTGAGTGAGGGGGCACGGGATCGCGAGGCTCAGCGTGAACTCATCGGAAGCATGAGAAGATGAGATGCGCCCAAACCGATTCACTCGATATTTTGAAGAGCAAGACCCTTGGTAGACTGTCTCGAGATACATGTACTGCACCGTGGTGGCATCCTGTGCCAGTATTGACCTTTGATTGCACTAGGAGCGAGACTTGATAGATGTGCACGTTGATTGGCATACTCATTTTCTTTCATCTAGCGTTTGCTTTCAAGGACTCGCGGCGATGACCAGGAGATAGAGCATGACCCTTGGGCGTTGTCTAAACCCTATGATGACGGAAGAAATCACATCAACATGCTCATTGGACTTTGAATTCCAATATGATACGATAGCGTTAGCTCTGGTTTCAGGAATAATTACATGAGTGCTCTTGACCGGCCCGCTTTCCCGTAAATCACAGGCTTTTATCCGTAGATGACAAGATATCGACACATCCCAAGCAAGGCAGCCAACTTTGGCCCAACCTACTTGTATAGGCTAGCACGATTAATTGATACGAGCCTGACCCTGGACGTCGATCAAGTTCTTTCCCTCAAGCCAATGGGCTTGCTGGTCCGCCATGAACTCATGGCCATCGACCGAGGATAAAGTCAACCGCGTGGGATGTCTGAATAGTAGATGACTTCTTGCCATGTGGGCTCTCAGGCTTAGGAGGACTACAGTTTGTGAATATCTTTGCCCATATCAGTTCGCGGCTTTTCTTCGAGGTGATCTTTAGCCCGTCATGCTCTGCTAGACGGCAAATAGTGGCTTATCATAGTTGCAGCATACGAGCACCATGGTGCGCTAAGGACGTGGATTCAGGACCTTCTGAGTCAGGTAGATGACATGTTCTGCACTGCCGTGGAAATGCATTGACAGGCTGCGTAGTGAGCAGAAACCCCGCCGCTGCTTTCCACTGAGCCTGTTACCCGATGCATTCTACATACCCAAGAGATGAAGGATGGTCCACCCTTGACTCGAGATGGGCGTGAGTTTGAGGCCTGGCTGAAGACGGGGAACCTGGTTGTATGTAAGATGCAGTGGTCATTTTCATGTTAGATATGATAGAGACAACGAACCCTTGGCAAGGAGGTAGCTGAACAAGAGGATCAAGGGTACATGAGCAGGGCGTTCGAAATCGTGGACCGTGTCCTGGGGATAGTACATACATATGTATGAAAGGCCGAAAATCGAAGCCATGTTGAACGGTTGATCTGAGAGCGACAAGGATCACGATACTCTCGATTTCTCTTCTTTCCCATGTGCTCCATGGCCACAATAAGGTCTGTGTTGTGCATCTGACATGCAGACAAAAGCTACGGATCTTAGGGCCCTGGTGCTCTAGGTATGCTAGCGCTCAGGCTGGGCTTTTGCAGTGTTGGCTCTTTTCACATATTTATTACGCGTTACCGTTGAAGAGGCTCTATGTCGAGTCTGTTGGCTGTGTGATAGGCTAGAAAGGAAGACGGAAGGTGATAGCTCCTGATCATGATACCCTAGGTTAGGTAGGTAGTGTTGAGGTAGATTTAAGATTGTTGATCACTGGATATTGTTTTCCATGTTCGCTGTGAGGCTGGAGTTCGGTGCACTTAGGTACCTGAACCTCCCAGTAACCTAGGTAGGCACCATAGGTACGGCAGATACCGACTTACCTTACCTGCATGAGATCGGTACCTAGCTACCTAGGTACTAAGGTAGCTGTACCTGTTAAGGCCCAGGATATCGGTATAATCTGACTGGGAAGGCATGATGGTGATTTCTGCGCTCTTGACACTTGGGTTGGTTGTAAGACTCTGAATGACAGGTGGTTCAACTACCACTTTTTCCAACCACAGTCGTCACCAATTCTTGTTTAATATCTCTTCTTTTCGTCATTGGTAGAGACACAAATGGAAGAATTCTAGAAAAGGCCCCGCATCATTCTGTTCCTGTTCCTGATCTCGTTCCTGCCGCTTGCCACATGCCCACATGACGGACGCGTGCTGTGCCCCTGAAATTCAGGTACAGCCGTACAGAACCGCTGGCAAGAATTTGTTATCACACGTCCAAGCTTGGCGTCGGTTGACTAACTGTCGAGGTTACAGTACATATGTACAGCGCTTCCAGTTCTGCCCGTCTGGCAAAGATCAAGATGGCCCTGTTGGCGGCCCGAACGGGATCTTGGATCGGCGCACATACCGGCACCCAGCGCTAAAATCAGGTTTCTTGTGTACTGTATGCACTGGACGTATCAAGTGACAGTCAATATATCGCCAATCCTCACGAACAGTTACGGCTTGGCGTCTTGAAGGCTATCGACCACGACCTGCAACAGTCTGGCACCATGGCATTCTTCGGTACTCTGGCATGGCCAAGATAATCCTCGTCGTTTATGTGTACTCAGAATTGACACCCAATACGAACATGATTTGCGCCATGCTGGGTGCCAGATATGGATTTCAAACATTGAGCGCCCTCGCCAACCAAGTGCTGAGTTTTTTTCTTTATACCCTTACCCATGACCCGAGCCATGGGGTAATGAGTTTATCATCGTTCAATAGTATTGGTAATTACCACCGATGTGGTCAGTCTGACCAGAGACTTTATGACTACTCCGTACAAGCAAGCGAAACTACCTATATATATCACAAACGAAAAGTTCCCTCACAGGCTCACAGTTCCCTCTCGGCTCGACTTGAATTATGTCAAGCTGTTGACAACTCGCAGAGCGAACAAGAAAATGCAAAGACCTAATAATGGTAGTCTCAGGCAAGGACGGCGGTTGTCATGCTCCTTGACCCTTGACCCCAGTCCCTTCTGTCGGCATGTCCCTGGTCCCTGGTCGCAGTGACAATGACGAACATGGAGGCCCACTGCAGGCTCGGTAGCTAGGTGCTAGGCCGGCGATATGATGAACGGGGGCACATCCTGCAAATCCGTCCTGCACCTCTGAATTAAATAATTACAGTA